ATTTTGATCACATTATGACACTCCAAGTCTGTTAAATAAAATTTACCTTGAATCAGGGTAGAGCTAGTGACTAGCTGACTGGAAATGGCCATAGAGAAGCCAGCAGGTCTACATGCAAATACTTAATTGCCATGGGTCATTGTTGACTCAAGACCTCTGGTCTCTGAAGCCTCAGAACTATCTGACCATCGCTGAGACTTCTTCAATCACAGCCGTGCTTCAGGGTTTCATCTTCAGTGGTGATGCTATGCTCCTGGATCTGGTTGTGCAGCACCAGCTCCTCTCATGGTCCAGCAGCTTCTAGATGAGTTGGTCAGGCTCTTCCAGCATATTAGTTTTAATTGACATTTTCTTAAAAATGAATGATGTGGAGGGCTTTTTTATCTGATTATTAACCATCTTATGTGGTGAAATCTTTTGCCAGTCCTTTTATTTTTTAATTTATTTTTTTTATTATTTTATTTTATATAACAAAGTCCAATTAAATGAAAACAAACATTTATACACAATATTTGGGAATTTGGGCGTCGTTCTTTCCAAAATACTTCCTGCTGGTAAGGGGCGCTGTCTTGGGGGATTCGAAGAAGATTCAGATATCCTGGCTGTAGTCTGTAGGGCTGTTTTGTCCAGCTGTTTTGAATGTAGGATCAGCTTGTACTCTGTTTCAGGTGGTCTGGTGTGATCAAACCACATTAGTCTGGAAGGAATCCACAGCTTTTCATTTTCTGTGGAAACAAAAATAGAAATCCTTTTCCCCAGTAACTTGTCCTTCAACTTAAATTTTGGAGTCAAAGCATTTTTTTTTTAATTTAATTTATTATTTTACATGTCGATCCCAGTTCCCTCTCCCTCCCCCCTCCCTCCATCCCTTTTACCCTCTCTGCCCTCTCACATGTACTCCAACCACCTTCCCCTCCCATCCCCCCACCACAATTCCACATGTAGGGGAATGCCATCCAGTTGGGGTCATGTAGATCTGACAGGTCATGTGAAGTAGGGACTAGGACTTCTATCCTGTCTCTAGGTTAAGGCAGTTATCCCTCCATGGGGGATATGTTCGCAAGGTCCTTTTGTGCACCAGGGATACATCCTGGCTCCACTGTCTGAGGTCTCTTAGACTGCTCAGTCCTTCTGGCTGAGACCCATATTCAGGGGGGCCTGAGTCAGTCACATGCTGGCTTCCCAGCTATCAGTCTAGTGGCCCTTAGCTCCTCCTTGTTCAGGTAAGCTGTCTGTATGTGTTTCTGCCGCATGGTCTTGTCCTCTCCATCTGCATCTGGGTTCTAGTTCGACTCAGTGTTTATGTATGGGTGTTTGATCCTGTTTCCAACAGGCATTAGTTGAGGGCTCCATGGATAAGTTAGTTCTTGATCTCACTCTCCAGGAAGGGCATTTATGATAGCCTTTCCACGGAAGCTCAAATTGTTAGTTGGGAGCAGTCTTGTAGTTCTCTAGACCTTTCTTTGTGTTCAATTTTATCTTCAAACCAATATTGGCTCCCCCTCTCTCTCTACCCTGTCTCTCTCTCTCTTTCCTATCTTTTATTCCTAACCAGGCTCAATCTTCCTGGTCTCACATGTTTTCCTTTCCTCCCCCTCATTTTCTCCTACTTCTCTCTCCATTTGCTGCCCCCCCCACTTCCCCTGAGCTCCGGGGGACTTGTCCCTTCCCAGTTCTGTGAGGGACTTTATATGAATCTCTTAGAATACACCTTGTATCCTAGTTCCTCTGGTGGTATGAATTATAGGTTGGTGATCCTTTGCTCTAGGTCTAAAATCCATATATGAGTGAGTACATACTGTGTTCCTCTTTTTGTGACTGGGTTACCTCATTCAGGATGGTTTCTTCAAGTGCCATCCACTTGCCTGCGAATTCAAGATACCATTATTTTTTTCTGCAGAGTAGTATTCCATTGTGTAGATGTGCCACATTTTCATTAACCATTCTTCAAATGAGGGGCATCTAGGTTGCTTCCAGGTTCTTGCTATTACATTTAATTTATTTTTTTAATTAAAATACAGCTACATTACTTTCCCTTTCTCCTCCCTCCAGCCTTTTCATTCCTCCCAGCTCCTTCTCAAATTCATGGCCTCTTTTTAATTATTACTGTTTTACACAAATGGGCACACACACACACACACACACACACACACACACACACACACACACACACGGGGCGGGGATGCAGGAGGGGGACATGCAGTCTGCTGAATCATGTAGTGTTGTTGCTTGCATGCATATGTTTTTAGGGCTGACCACTTAGTATTAGACAACCATTTAGGGAATACATCCCTGGGGAAGAGTAAGTCTCCCTCTCTTGGCAGCTGTTAGAGCTTTTCATCTGGAGACGGAGCTCTATGAGACTTCTCCCATTTACATTGGTGTGTCAGCTGGTGTTGTCACTGTTCAGGTCTTGTTTAAGCCACTATAATGTGATTTCATAGCTGTAGCTTCCCTGTCCTATACATAAGACACAGTCTTGCAGCAGACTTCCTGTCCTCTTTCTTCACCATCATCAGTGACATTCCCTGACCTCGGGTGCAGGAGTTGTGTTGTAGATGTATAGGTTAGGGTTGGATGCCCCACTGCTAATTGTTCTCTGCATTGACCAGTTGTAGACTTCTATAACAATCTTCATCTGCCTCCTTTGAAGGAGGCTTCTTTAATGTGTGGACGGGTGGAGCTACACTTAACCTGTGGGTATAGGGGTGAGTGTGGGGAATGCAGTTAGGCATGGTACTGGTTTTAAAAAGTGGCCATAGTAGCTTCTCCTCTGAGATCCATGATGTCTCTAGCCATGGGCATTGGCTAGGTTTCCAGTACCAGGCATGATTTTTCTTCTACTGCTCAGGCCTAATATCCAGTTGGCTGGCTGCTTATTACCGCCAAGATGTTAGTGCCACTACTGCACTTATAGGGTATGGGATTCTGCCAGTCATTGTGGGTCATAAGCATTCCTGCCTTGGCAGCTTTCATGGCGCTTTATTAATATAAAAACCAGTCCCTAGGGAGGAGGCCTTCAGGTCAGGTCCAGCTCACTGAATCCTGTGGGAGACAACCAAGGGCAACAGCAATATATTGTTTGGGGAGCCATTTGGACTCCCTTAACCAATGCTCCAAAGAAAGTTTTTCATGCCAGCCTGATACTGGGGTTTGTTAAATAGTCTATGGCTGTCAGGAAGAGCATTTAGCATAAGTAGCTTATCTTCAAGAAATAAAGAGAGAGATTAGAGAGATTGAGAGAGAGAGAGACAGAGAGAGAATGTATGTGTGTGTGTACCTGTGTACGTGTAAATGTACATACACTGTCTTAGTTACTAATCTATTGGTGTGAAGAGACATGATCAAGACAACTCTTATAGAAGAAAGCATTTAGCCAGGTGGTGGAGGCATTCTCCTTTTATCCGGGAACTGGGGGAGAAGGGAAGTAGAGGCCGGTGGATCTCTGTGAGTTCCAGGCCAGAATGGTCTACAGAGCCAAGTTCCAGGAAAGGCTTCAAAACTACAGAGAAACCCTGTCTCAAAAAACTAAACAAAAGCATTTAATTGAATGATTTCTAGTTTCAGCGGTTAGTCCATTATCATGACAGGAAGCAGACAGTAATAGTACTAGAGCAGTAGCTGAGAACTTTACATCCTGAACCAAAGAGGAGGGGCAAAGACAGACTAGAAAACCTCAATGCCCACCCCCAGTGACACACCTCAAACAAAGTCACACCCACTCCAGTGCCACCACACCTCCTAACCCTTCCTAAACAGTTATATTAGGGACAAAACATTCAAATGAATTAGCCTGTAGGATCATTCTTATTCAAGCCATCACACACTTACATGTATTGTAAGTAAAATAATATTCCTGAGGTGTGTTGTCTATTTCTTCTCCTCCCCACTCCTTGTGTATTTTCCTCACTCCCCTCCCACTTAAAGCCTCCCCATTTCACCCGCTAATCACCCATACCCTGATGTTCTGGTCTCTGGACCACCTTTTCAATGCCACAGACTCAGTTTTACTCCCCTGGCTTCTACACTTACTCCAGGTTGTATACTCACATCTGAAGATGTGGAGCTAGAAACCACACATGAGAGATCATGCAGTGTTTGTCTTTCTGGATCTGGGTTTCCTCATTCAATAAAATATTTTCTAGTGCCACCCATTTACCTGTAAATTTCATTTCATTTTCTTTACATCTGAATAGTATCCTCTCTCTCTCTCTCTCTCTCTCTCTCTCTCTCTCTCTCTCACACACACACACACACACACACACACACACACACACACACACAGATTTTCATTATTGATCCATCAATTGAAGGACATTAGGGTTCTCCCATCCCCTAGCTACTATGAGTAGAGTGGCTCCATTGTCTTTGGACCTGTGGTGAGGGAGTACATCATGGAGGAAGACTGCACTGGAACAGAGCTCATTACCTCACAGCACCAGACAGCAGAAAGAGACAGAGACAGAGATGAGACTGAGGACTCCCCTCTCCCTGTCACCTCGCACTGCCACCTCTAGCGCTCAGTGCCTATAATCCCAGCCACTGTCATTGAGGCCTTTGCACACAAACCTCCAGGGGCCATTTCAAACCCTGAGACACAGCACCAGTCAGACTGCTTTTCCTGTGTTTAGTATTACTGATTTCTAACTCAGCTGTTCTGGGGAATGTGCAGTTTTATGTCATTGTGGGTTTAGCTTTTCCTAGTGACTAATGTGGAGAGCTGCTAGATGTCGCTGACTGTTCGTGCATTTTTTACTCAACGTGTCTTCAGTTTTGGCAATTCTGTTATGAGCTGCCTTCTTGCTGAGTCTTGAATGTTCTGTGTACACAGCATGGCCACATATCATTCATTAGATATATGTGTTAGAAACAGAGCTCCTAAAATTTTCTTTTCTTTTAGTGTTTTATGGTTAGAGCTTGGTTTTAGTGAGTTTCTAATCAATTTCTGTGCTTTTAAAAACATTTTAAGGTTTTTTTTTTCTTTTTTACCTGCTCCAAAGGTTGCAACAATATCCTCCTGGCTGATGGCTGGGGAGAGGTGCTCATCACTCAGCTCCCCCACAAAGAAGAGCTAAAGATGCTTAATTGTGTTCTGAGGTGAGTGATCATTGGAGCACCCTGAAAATTAGAAAGAGATTGGACTTCTGTGGGAACCTGAGACCCAGGACCAGGGCACAGTAAGGAAAAGAGAATCTTAGTGCTGGTACCCCACATCCACAGCTAGAGGAGGACAAGCCTCCCTGTGAGGGTGACAGAGAGGCCAGTACACAGTGTGTGCTAGCAATTTTCACTCCTGGAAGTCTGCCTAACCTTCATGCTTGCAGCTCACTGATGTCAGGAACCTGGAATGTGCACATAGCATGTCCTTTGCAAAAGGAGCTCACATATTCCACTGACTGCTACCCATGCGAGGTTGCTGTTACTAAAGCCAGCTAGGGAAGGTGTCTGAACTTAAACTGGCATTGCAGTCAGACTCCTCATCTGTATATTGCCATCTTCGGGACTCCACAGACACTCACTGTAGAGGACAGGCATTGTAGAGGACAGGCATTGTAACAGAACAGTGTCACCCTCTAGAATCAGGAGATCAGGGTGCTTTCCCTTTGAGATGGACTGACTGTCAGGAGCATGACCAGCTATATGCATGAATTCCCACTGAAGGCCCATGAAGTTTCTGCCCCCTGTTCCCAGTGCACAACACTCAAATGCTTGTCAGCAGGAATAGGGCAATGTTCATGCTGCTCTGCCTATGTGGGTGCTGAAGGGGCCGTGAGCAATTCCATGGAGTCAAGCACTGGCCAGTCCCCAGATGGACATAGCCAAAGAGAACTTCTCCGCTCTGGCTGTCTAGTACACCATGGTGTACTATAGAAGAAGCACAAAGGAGAACCACCTAGCAAGTCCCTGCTGCCCTACCCTGTCTGACCATACACTGCTAACAAGACTGGGAACAAGCCCCTCCAAGTGAATGTTGAACTTTCCACCTTCCTGTGAATGTCTAGTCTGCACCACTGACTGATTATAGGGGCAAATCCTAACCCTTAACCGCTGCTGGAGCCACCCATGCTGAAGCCTTTGCTATTAGCAAAGCTAGCATTGACGGATCCTGAGGACTTTTAATTGTCTCAGGGCACTGTAAATTGTCTCAGCCACTGTTGCAGTACCACCCCCATCACTGTCTGTGCTATACCTGCTATGCTCTGGCGGGTTCCACAGAGGAGTCAGTGGGTTTCAACTCAGTGTGGTTCATGATTATATTTTAAAAAGTGAGATCCAAGAGAATACAGATAGTGAGAAGAAATTAAAGAGATAATCACATATTATGAATGCAAAATTCCATAGATTGATAAAGAACCAAATAGTAATGTTGGGATGAAAAGTTGAGTAACTTAAATAAGAAATACAGTTGATACCCTCCACAGACAATCTAGATTAAGCAGAAGAGAGAATGTCTGAACTTGTGACTTTATGCCATCTCACCACTTTCTGTATTTATCCTCCAAGTCCAGCCAGGCTAGTACACATTATGCTCCAATCCAGCCTGGTAAGTGTAGCTCTCACCCCTTGGCTTTGTCAGGGTTCTGTTGCTGTGAAGAGACACCATGAACACGACAACTCTTACGAAAGAAAGCATTTAATTGGGGGGGGGTTACTTAAGTTTTAGAGGCTGCTTCATGACCATCATGTCAGGTAGCAGGCAGGCTTGGTGCATTCTGATCCACAGGATGGAGGAACAGAGAGTGACTGACTGGACCTGGCTTGGGCTTTTGAAATCTTAAAGCCCACCCCCAGTGATACACTTCCTCCAACAAGGAAGGCCTAATCTTTTCAAATAGTGCCACTCCCGGTGATCCAGCATTCAAATCTGTGAGCTTATAGAGGCCACTCTCATTCAAACCAATACACACCTTTTCAAAAAAACTCCTCTTTGCAGGGGACACAGACCATCACTGAAAACTACAATTGGTCAAAATGAAGAGAATAACTGATACGTCTATAATACAATACAATTCCTGCACCTAAGACTCAGCAGCATAATGAAAGAGGGTAGAAAGATTGTAAAAGGCTGAGGATCAGCTGTAGATTGTGTCTCTTAGAAGTGACAAGGAAGTTATACCCAAGATACCTCGACAGGATGCAAGACATACACAATGACAACACTAATAGACACTCTATTGAAAAATCTCATGGCACCTTACCCCTAGACAAAGAACCCAAGAATGAACACCCTAACTGATTATCTAATACCAAGTGCTGAGCCATGAAATAATACATAGAGCTAATACTAAATGGACTCAGAAGGTTGTATTTGTATATTTATGCAGATGTGTAACAATAATAAATAATAAAAAGAGACTGAATTTGGGAAGGAGTAAAAGGATATGGGAGGAGTTAAAGGGAGGAAAGGAATAAATGATGAAATTATATTTTAATTCAATTTATTTTAATTTTTAAAAGAATATATGAACTTAAAGATGGGCCTTTTGAAAGTTTAGTCAGGTTTTTAGGACTTCTAGGACACCATTAAATGAACAAAGAGTCCTTTTTTTTTTTTTTTTTTTTTTTTTGAATACCCAAAGTTGAAGGGAAAAGTTAAGGAAACAAATGATTTCAATGAAATAGTGTGACAATTCAAATCATGGGTAAAATGCAGATATATATGTAGATGAAGTATTGTAGAACCCAAATTTGTCCAGAAAAGACCTCTAATACAGCTTAAGCGCTGAAGTACAAGACAAAGAAAAGATTTTCAAATCTATTTTAAAGTAAGAAAGCCCTAGTTGCAATCTAGCAGGTTCCTCAGCAGAAACTGCAGGCTAAGAAGAGATGAAGTGAGCCACTGCAGGCCCTGAGAGAAAGTCACTTCCAACTAAAGCTGCTGCACCCAGCAAAGCTGGCCCGTGGGGATAAAGAATAAGGCCTTCTGTGGTTTGAAAGGAAATGGCTTCCAAAGGGAGTGACACTACATGGAGATGATGTAGCATTGCTGGAGTAGATGTGGTGTTGTTGGAGGACGTGTGTTCCTGGGGGTGGTCATTGCTCAAGATACTATCTAGTGTGACACACAGACCACTTCCTCTTGCCTGCAACTCTCAGCTACTTCTCCAGTACTATGCCTGCATGCTGCCATGCTGCCTGTAATGATGATAATGGAGCAAACCTCTGAAACTATAAGTGAGCCACCCCAATTAAATGTTTTCCTTTTAAGAGTTGATGTGGGCATGGTGTCTCTTCACAGCCATAGAAACCCCAACTAAGACATCTTCCCAGATGCAAAACAACACAAGAGGACATTCATGGCCAGAAAACAGTCTTTTTGACCCCTTGCTTCCAAAGACCACTGCCATCCCATAATACACAATACATTTAGTCTAGCTTGCACCTCCATAGTCTTCACACTTCCAACACTATTCAAAACTCCATGACCAAACTCTCTTCTGAGACTCAAGTCTAAGTCTTCTTAACTTTGAGGCCCTATAAAAATCAAAACAGCAAGTCTCATGCTCCCATTAAATAGTGGTACAGATTGAACAACCCCATTCCAAGCCAGGGTTTTGCAAGGTTTCCCAAAGCCAACAGCCAGCAGGGAGAACAGCAAATCCTATAGGTCCATTGCTAGTGTTTGAGACACATGGTGGTGTGATGTGATTTCCTATGGGCCTGGCCTGGCCTGTTCTTACAGACCTGTTGTTGCCTGTAGCTTTCCTTGGCAGACACGATACATTCCTGCTATTTCTAAGATCTGGGGTCTTCTCTGTTTCATCTTCACAATTTCACACATTGTCTAATTACAAAGATTTTCTCTGGAACCTTGCTGCAAGCCTTTCTAGCCAGCAATGTAGCACAAATAGCAAATTCTATTCAGTGGGACATCTTCTCTTAAGCATGGTAGAAGGTGCACAAGATGGCTCAGTGGGGAATGGTGCTTGACAGCCCCAGGGTCTCCAGGGTAAAGGAGAAAACCAAACACTTTGTCTTCTGACCACCACATATCTTGTGGCATACATACATCTGCTCATGTACACACAATAACTAAATTCAATTTTTAAAAAGGTATACATATGCCATCCACAAAATTTTTTTACATCAATAAATTCAAGAGTACCATATATACTTAGGTAGAATTGTTTGGCTCAAGGGTTCTGCTTAACCCCCAACATTCTGTTAACCTACCAGAGTCAGATATATATAGATAGGTAGGTAGATAGGTAGGTAGGTAGGTGGATGGATGGATGGATGGTTGGATGGATGGATAGATAGATATAGCATGGAAAATAAAATTCAGTGGACTCAATATAGGTTAAGTGGGGTTTATTTGGGGAGAATTCACTTACACAAGAAGCAGATGACTGCCGCGGGTTCCCGCTTCACAGATGCTACCCAGATGCTCTATGCAACCTGACCAGGAAGTAAGAGAGCAAGCTGGGGTCCCCTAGCACATCCAAACCCGTGACCATGCCCAAATGGGCGTGGTTGGTGCAACAGGTGTGGGCCGGGTGGATATCTCACTACAATTCCCCTTTTAGTCTAAAGAAAATATTTAGGCTTGATACAAGACTATATATATAAAGATAGCATATATCAATTATGCTCTAGGAGAAAGAAAAGTAAGAACATACCCACTTAAGATCTATTGCTATGGAGGCAACAAGAGCAAATGGCAAGAACTACATATCCAGTCCTAAGGTAATAGTATAACAGGTTACTACAGAGTTGTCCTAAGCTGGAAAGTTTAAGTCTTGTATCTAATATTTCTATTTAGGAAGAGAGAGCAACAATAGTGACAGTCTAATCTTCAACCTCATCAAAACCCTGAGGAGGAGGAGGATAACAATACTAGGAAATGCAGTCAAGCAACTTCCAAAAGGTGCAGAGAAGACAGAAACAGCAAGCTACCTGGACAGTCACCTAAAATCTTAAGTGCATAGAGGCATATACAACATACACATACATGCAGAAGGTGTTGAAAAACCTGTGTGAAAGCTGCAGGACAGAGAGAACAAGACAAAATTTAAATTTAGCTATTTTGTCAAAACAGGAGCTCAAGCTTGAAAGACTGGGTGAAGGTAGTTATCAATTAGTAGAGGAGCCCTCTCTGGTGGGAACGGTACAAGGTCTAGCCTAAGGTGCTGAATGGGGGAAGCTTATAAGATGGGATTTCAAAGCCAGAAACTTAACAGCACTTAGAATTGCTCCTGGAGTCAGACACCAGGGACTTGTCTTTAAACTCTCAAACCAGAGGCGTACTGTTCTGATTGCTGAGTGCTAGTGGCTTGTAGGCTGAGCTGTCAGGGTCAGAGGCTTGGGTCTATCTATAAGCCCTGTAAGCCAAACACAGGTTCTCAAGGTATGAGCCAGTACTTCACAATGAGCCATTTAAGGTTAAGACATTCAGACAGCACTAAGAATGACAAGCTGGTGGCAGACAGTGCTGTCATGCACATCAGGCTGCTTCTGCAGGCATGCAAGGTGCCACGGTGACAGGCTCCACCAGATCACAAAGGAAATCCCAGGAGGCCAGGCAGTGTGTAGCAAGATCCAATTCCCTCTTGGAAGAAGCCCAGAGGCAGTGTACAGAAGCATGAGAAAGTCACATGGCAGGAATGAGGGACATCAAGGGAAGCTGCATGCAGCAGCAGAACTCAGCTATAACTGGCAAGGCCCAGGGGCCTTTGGGCTCCAAGGATCTGTTCGTAACAGTCTCCTTAGACAGGCCTCTGCTCACACATCTCTGTACCATACTTTCTGCCCCAGGGTCCTACTGAGGACTGCATTTACTCATCATTCACTTGTTTTCCAGCCTCTAGATGGTCATCTAGAAGATTTACAAGTTAGTTACTAGATTTTCTTTTTCTTTTGTAAAGATGTATTTATGTATTATGTATACAATGTGCTGCCTGCATGTATCCCTGCATGCCAGAAGAGGGCATCAGATCTCATTACAGATGGTTGTGAGGCACCATGTGGTTGCTGGGAATTGGATGGCTCTTAACCTCTGAGCCATCTCTCCAGCCTGTTACTAGATTTTCTAAACTAGTTGGCACTGGTTGTGTAGGACTTTGTAGTGTTTTGTTAAAGAATTTTGCTCCTATGTTCATAAAGCATATTGATTTATGATATACTTTTCTTGAACTACCTTTGGTTTTGATGTTAGTATAATTCTGGTCTTGTGACACGAGTTAAGCTCTATACTAAGTTTAGTACTTTATTCTTAAATACTTGGTCAATGAAAATAACTGTTGAAACTTTGTGGGGGAAGGTCTAAAATAGTTTCTTTTAAGATTAAAATATTTTTATATGTATTTGTGTTTATGCCTACATTGTGTATATTTTTATTTTTATTTGTGTACATGTCTGTGTTGTGTATATTTTTATATATATTGGTGTTTATATCTGTGTTGTGTATATTTTTATATGTATTGGTATTTATGTGTGTATTGTGTGTGTGCAGCACAGATGTGCCTGCTCCTGTTGAGGCTGGAGGAGGGTACTGGATCCTCTGGAACTAGAGTTACAGATGGCTCTGAGCCACTATGCAGGTGCAAGGAGCCAAATCCAGGTCCTCTGCAAAAGCAGAAGTACCAAGCCATGTCTCCAGCCAGAGGTTGGTTTCTGTAATAGATACTTAGCACTCTTTTGTGAATGAATTTTGGTAGTATGTATAAACTATTTTGTCAGAAAATTTTTAATTATTAAGAAAAGTGGTTCAAAATAGTCAGGCAATGTAGTCCTCCTGGTCCCACCTTCCGAGTGCTGAGATTAATAGGCATGAGCCATGATGCTCATCCTGTTGCTGTTTTTACCTTTCATTGATTCCTGCTCTGTCTGATGTCCTTCCTTCAACACTCTCATTTCTTGGAGTTTAAATTCAGATCACTGAATTGAGATATTAGTTTCCTATGTGAGCACATCAGAAGAAAACCTAAAAGCTACTAGAACACATAAATTAAAATTAAATAGTAATTGTAGCCAATTTTCTTATATTCGTATCGTTACTTTTCAAAGTTACAGTTTCCTTTATAGCTTTTCTGTTGTGAAATAAGTCATGTGAGGTTAAAAACACTTCCAGAGGACACAGAACACTGAGGAATTACTCTAGTCAGAATTGGCTTAACAGGTCATCTAAAAAATCTCAGTGGCTTAATGCAGCAAAGATTTGCTTACCAGGCATCAACTGTGAATCCTCAGTGGCTCTGCCCCACAGTCACACAGGGACCCACATTGACAGAGCCTCCATCATCTTCAACTGTGTCATCCAGTATACGGCAGGGACAAGAACACAGAAGGATGTCTCCACATGGGCCAATCTAACAGGAAGAATCTAGGAATGGGGTGTGTGTGTGTGTGTGTGTGTGTGTGTGTGTGTGTGTGTGTGTATGGGGGGATATGTATATGGAATGTATACATGCATAAATGGGGTTATGTATTATATGTGTGTGTAGGGTATCTGAGGAAATGATCTGAGATGGGTATCAATGGGAAATATGGGCTATTAAAGGACTGAATAAAATGTGTATGTTTTAGGAACCTCAGTTTTGTACCACTATCAAGCTATCAAAACCACTATCAAGCAAGAATTACATCTTAAAAGTTTGTGTTTATGTTTTGGAGGAACAGTTTTTTTTAACCAACAGTTAATTGCAGTCTCCTATGGGTAACAGCAGTGACAGAATCCCTTGCATTTGGATGGTGCCTATTTTTAGAAGGTTATTTCATGTGTAGATTGGGCCACATTTCCACATGTGATCTGGGCCATAATTATACACCCTAGTTTTAGAATTAATCTTAGGACACAGGTATGGGAAACCCCTGATGAGACTCAGACTAGCGTTCTTCGCACCTCACACAACATCTGTAGCACTGATTCATTTCCTGCATCCCAGACCCAGAGTGGACACCACTGCACCTGTCTTCTGATGCTGTAGTCAGTGCTTTAAAATTGAGATCAGAAGTGAGATTCTGCAATACAATTGTATTACAATAATACTTGAAGTTACTAGCCTTTTTTATTCTCCAACTCTTCTAAATATACAAAGAATTTTCCAGAAGTGATATGGTATGTGTGATATCTACACATATTAAATGCAGATGAGAATTTAGCTGATATTAAGCTAGACACTAAACCAAATAGTAAGAACTGCTGGTGTGGACCTTGGGAAAACTGCACTGTACTACAAGATTTCTTTAAACACATGCTGTGTTAGGTGTGCCCAACTCAGCGTCTCGAGTGGACTGTCAAACTAAGTACAGTCCTCCCTGCTGCTCAAAGAAATGAAGATGGGACACACTTGGCTGCCTCTAGCCTCAAAATGATTTTATTCTCTACAGGGACATATAGACTGTTTATTAAAATGGCTGATAATGATGGTCACTTTGTTTCCTTTCACAGAGATTTCTCATAACACACAAGGAGCCAATAGTAATGCAGTTGAAGGATGTAAAATGAAAACAATAACCTCAAGTCAAAAGTAAGTATAGCATATTAGTACAGTATAGTAAGTATAGCAAGTATGGCATATCAGTATAGTATAGTATAGTATAGTATAGTATAGTATAGTATAGTATAGCAAGTATGCTGTGTTAATGTAGTATAGTCAGTATGGCATGTTAGTATAGCATAGTAAGTATAGAGTAAGTATAGCATGTTAGTATAGTATAGCAACTGTGGTATGTTAGTGTACTATAGCAGGTATGACCTGTTAGTATAGTATAGCAAGTATGGCGTGTTACTGTAGTATGGTAAGTATAGCATGTTAGTATAATATAGCAAGTATGGCATGTTAGTATAGTATAGCAAATATGGTGTGTTAGTAAAGTATAGCAAGTATGGTGTGTTAGTAAAGTATACTAAGTATAGCATAATCTAAAAATAGGCACCGGGCATGGCAATGCATGGATTTAGTCCCAGCTCTTGGTAGGCAGAGGCAGGCAAAGTATGATAAGATGATTTCACTTCATCCTGGGAGCCTGCGGAAAAGAGAAAAATATTGGAATTGTGAACATTTGTAGTGGATTATGGGAGAAGTGGGTACATATATAAAATTCTCTAAGAAATGTCTCCTCTGAGAAAGTTTTGATTTCAAGGGCCATATTCAGGAATCACTTGCATGCTCCCTTTTAATTGCTTTTGGTGCCTGCAGATGTGTACCTTCCCTGAACTTCTCCCCGTTGTGAGATTCTCCCACATACTCTGCTTCAGACTCTCTCTGTCAAATCCTTCCAGTAAGTTTTCTATTAGAGCCAATCCTTTTTTTTGTTTTTCTGAGCCCCCAGGAAACAATGGATCCTCCAAACATTAGCCAGCACCAATTTCAGTCTGGATAGATGATGTCAGCAATAGAGTCACTGAGGATAGAACATTCTCTTGCTTCTCTTACTCCAAAAATAGACTGTTAAAGCTGGATTTTAAAGAAATTGTTAATCTTCATTTATTTTGGGAGGAGCCACAGCCTATGTGTGGAGGTCAGAGGACAACCTGAAAGAGTCCATTTTCTTCTTCTATCACATGGGGTTGTGGGTTTGACTCAGGTCATCCAGCGTGGCCACAGACACCTTCATCTGCTGAACCATCTCTCTGGCCCTGGATTTTTATTTTTAATTGTGTATTTGTGTGCACATGAGTTCAGCTGCCATAGAATCCATAGGCATTGGTTCCCCCTGGAACTAGAATAAAAGGTGTGCCATCCAATATGTGTGCTGAGAACCAAGCCAGATCATCTACAGGAGTGTGTGCTCTTTTCCACTGAGCCAGTCCCTGAGGGGCCCCAGGATTTTTATACATGTGAACCCTCAGCCTTTTCCTCCTGCACCTCCATTTTAAACCAACATGGCATGTTTAAATTTAAGCCAAGTTGTCTCTTGGTCCAAGGAGGGCTTTGTGTGGTCTGCTCTTCCCTCTAGGCTTCCTCATCCAGGCCACCACTCATTAAGCCTGCAGTGTCAGTCAGGTGGACAGCTACATTTCTTTGTCCTTGTTTGCTAGATCTGGAATGGAACTTTTTCAGAGAGGCCAAGTTAAACTGGAGTGAGCACAGGGAAAAAAACCTTGAGTGAAGAAAAGCACTTGCTTCTTTGCTCTCTTTTATACCTATATTTATAAAATAATATGTTTTTAACCACGATTCTTACATTTCATGTAAATAAACTGTATACTGTCATGAGTTGATGGCACAATAGGCTGATGGTCCTGGAGAGTAATGATCCACACTGTGAACAGACTGGTAGCCACCTCACACTGGCTTCTTTACCCTCAGTCTCTTCACTAATCCTGTGAAATAATTTGTTCACCAGGTAACTGAGGTCTGTCATCTTTCTTCACTCTGTAAAGTTTACCAAAGACAGAAACACCTATTAGTGTTAACTACCATACCATTTTTAATATTTTTTCTATAATTTTAGTACTTTATGATTACTTTTACATAAACTTGATATATTGCTGTTAATGTTTTAGATATTTTTTTTCCTTTCAGAATCTCATTCAATGCATCTTGATCATATTCATCTCTCTGTTTCATCTCCCTGTCCACCCAACTTTATATATTCTGACTTGTTCCCTCCCTCATCCTTCCTTTCTCTCAGAGGCCTCCCCACTCTTACTCAAAAACAAAACAAACAAACATCAAGCCAGTTTATGTTGGCCAACTAGTTCTGGGCATGGGTCTTGCTCAGGAGCCTGGTCAGTATATCAGGTGTCATTCCATTAAAGAAAATGGATTCTCCCTCTCCTGGCACCAATACAATGCCAATAGCTCCTTAGCTAGGGGTGAGACTTTGTGACACATTCCCTCCTCCATTCTGGGATTTAATGTGGATTGAGTTAGTTGAGTCTTGTGCATGTCATCACAACCTCTGAGTTAGTATGTACATCTGTCCTTTGTATCCTGAAAACAGTTTCCTTGAACTCATTCACTGCCTCAGGCTCTTCCTGTCTTTCTGCCCCATCTTCACATGGCTCTCTGAGCCTCGGAAGGAAGGATAAGATACAGATAGCCCATTTAGGCCTGGGACTTTCACAGTCCGTCCTTCTCTGCATGTTGACCTGTTGTGGATCTGTATGTTAATTGCCAGCTACTATAATATGCATTTTGACGAGAGCTGAGTAATGGCTGCTCTACAGGTATAGCAATAGGTCATTAGGAGTAGTTTTATTGCTATATCCATTTAGCAGAGTAGTAGGTTTCCTCCTAGGGCCCTTGACCATCTTGCCACAGGTTCTGGACCTCATTGATGATGTGAGGTATGGGTTCCATCCTGTGGATCAGGCCTTAAATCCAATCAAAAAGTGATTGGCTACTTCTATAATATTTGTGCCACTTCTATAATATTTGTGCTACTTCTATAATATTTGTTACCAGGCAGGTTGTTATTGTAGCTCACAGAGTTCATAGCTGGATGAGACAATTACTTTTCTGATAGCATGCATAGTGCCTCCCAACAATATGAAAGCTAGCTTCCAGTACCAGCTAGATATCTCCATGTTCTATGTAACTCAAGCATGTGGTATCTTCAGCAATAGGGTTCTTATCATCAATTTCTAGAGGGCAACCAATACTTCGGCAGTAGGCTGTAATGTTTCAGTGCAGCTCTATGGATACCATTGACCAACAACTCAAAAAGTAGATGACTCAATCTTGGTATTAATGGTTTTATTTGGAAGTATATGGTGTCTAGTTGGGGTATTGCCTACCACCCCCCCCCCAGAATAACTCTGTTTAAACTTGTGCTTTCAAAGGGGCTTTTGTTTTTCAAGACAGTTTTTCTGTGTAACCCTTGGCTGTCCTGGAACTCACTCTGTAGACTAGGCTTGCCTCCTGAGTGCCACAATTAAAGGCCTATACCACCACCGCCTAGCTCAAAAGACCTTTAGTATTGGCTGCCCCTCACCATATTCTATTCTCTATCACACCCTCCCAAGCCCTATCCCACTTATCATTCCTGTTCCATTTTTCCCTTCTCCAAAATGTTTTATGAAGGGATGTTGTTTTTTGTCACAGGCCTTTTCTACATCTGATGAGATGACCATGTGGTTTTTATCCTTTTACTTGTATGGTGGATTACATTTTTTGATTAACTTCTATTGAACCACCCTTATATCACTGGGAGGAAGCTAACTTTATTATAGTGAATGATATTTTTTAATGTGTTCTTGGATTGTTTGCATGTATTTTGTTGCAAATCTTTACATTTATGTTCCTAAGAAATAGTGGTCTTTAATTTTCTTTAGTTTGTCTTTGTCTGGTTTGGGTACAAATACCGGCTTCATAAAAAGAGCTCAGAGATATCCATTCAGCTTCTGTTTTATGGAATAACCTGAGGAATATTGGTGTTTTCTTTGAGAGTTTGGTAAAATTCCATAACTAACTCTATCTGGCCCGGGCTTTTTTAGTTGGTTTTTAAATTACTGCTTCTCTCTCTTTAGATGTTATGGGTCTATTTCAATTTTTAACTCTGATAGGTTGTACACATACAGAAATTCATCCATTTTTGTTTTCAACTTGGTAGAAATAGACTTTGAAAGCATGTCCTTATGATTCTGTGAATTTCCTGAGTGTCTGCTGTAATGTCATTCTCATCTATAATATTAATTTGGATCCTTCTCTTTTGGTTAATTTAGCTAAAGGTTTGGTTAATTTGGTTAACTTGATTGTTTGAAAGAACTAACTCATCTTTTCATCGATCCTTTGTATTTTTGTTGTCTCTATTTCATTAATTTCACCTCTGAGTTTAATTCTTCCTGTCTACCCTTTTTGGGTGTTTGTTCTTATTTTTCTAAAGCTTTCAAGTGTATCATTGCTATTAATGTAAAATATCAGTACCCCTAGCTGGTCTGGATCTTCTATGTAGATCCACTTGCCTCCCGGGAGCTGAGACTCAACACACTATGCCTAAATATTGCATAATATTATAACTTGAATTTCACTTAAAATATTGTAGAACTTTATCATTGCTTTAATTACATGTGAAAAATTTCAACAAGTATAGAAAAAGTACTTTTTTACACTAGAAAACGAAATCTTCCTAGCTGAATACGCTTTTCAGCATTGCTGGGATCAAGCCTAGGACTGTGAACACACAATGCAGATGTACTACCTTTGTGCTACATCCCACCCTTCTTGCTATTTTTTAATGGCTGCGTACAGCACATTTTAACGATACACCTACCATGTGTTAGTTTAACCCATCTAATTGTTGACATTCTTCAGATTTGTTATTGTTAGCATTTTATTGTTCTTGTTGCTGTGTGTGTATTTGGTATGTATGTTGTTGTTCAGGGTTTTCTTTTTGCAGGGGATGGAGTGCCAGGGATCAAACCCTGGAGGGATTTTGTATATTCTAAGCAATGAACTTTATTCCCCAATGTGTTTTTCTTGAAAGGCTGTTTCTGGAATCATCCTTTCTCAGCTTCTTTCTCTCTGATGTCTTTCCCACTTGCCCATGCATTTGACACTCAAGCTTCAGCTCTTGCCCTTTGTTCTTGGATTTATGTTCTCAGGTGCCCATGCACAATCCTGTTCTTTCCTGTGTTCTCTCCCCAGTTGCCAGATTTAAACAAGTATGTCCTGAAGAGAAAGCCTGTTCTTTCATAGGTTCCTGTTATTCTCAACCCAACTTCAGAGAAAGCTAGATAGAAAAATGTGAAAATGTGTATTCAAAATGACCCCTAAACAACCTCTAAATTTCACTATCAAAAGCACAGAAAGGGAGGTTGTCTGGAGTAATTGGTAATTCCCTGAATCTGTGTTTCTTTTAATGTTTTGGCTGAGGTAAATCTCTCTTTTACAAGTCAATAAAAACCACACTTAATAGAGAAGTCACACTTCATGTAAATTTAAAGACAGCTCAAAAACTGACCAAATGTTTGATCCTGGTCACTATTCATAGTGTTAGGTCATTGTCTGTGCATCCATTTGTCAACTAGTAATGCTGCTTCACTCCACTCACAAGTCATGAATTTGTGCAAATGGAGAAGCATGTAAATAAAGTCTTACAGTAGAGAGAGTGCCATGATAACATCAAGGCTTTTCTTCTTTTTCAGGGAAAGAAGATAAAGTGGAGCTGTTTCTTGTCCTATGTATTCATGAGGTCATCTTGAAATCTAACTAAAAATGACAGCTCTTTCTTCAGTGAACTGCTCATTTCAGCACCTGTTACACCAGTCAAAGCAGCCCCTAGATGTTAACTGTCTGTTGTTCTTGATCATACTTGGGAAAATATTATTAAATAGCCTCATCTTAGGAATGAAAAGGAAAGACACCTATTGGAATTTTATGGAGTATTTCTGCTTTTCACTAGCATTTGTTGATCTTCTGCTGTTGATAAACATTTCCATTCTGTCCTACTTTAGGGACTTTGTAGTTCTAGGTATTAGGTTTACAAAATACCATATCTGTCTGCTCACACAAATCATTTCCTTCACTTATGGCTTTTTGCATTATCCAGTTTGCTTACTAGCTTGTATAGATCACTGTTTCAATCTGTCTCGAGCCACCAAGCATTCATCTAAATGGCAAAAATTATTTTATTTCTTGACAGTCATTTTAATTTGGACTTCAGTCTTTGCTTATGTTTTGGGAGCGCCAGCCATCTCACAAAGCCTGAAGACACACAGGGCTTCTATGTACCAATGCCCTTCCTATGTCAGCACTCAGAGTTACTGGCTGTCATTGTCTATGCTAATGGTTTTATTTGTGGCTTTTCTGATTTCATGGCCAGAAGTTGTTGCCTTGGTACAAGCAATTAGGATAGCATCCTATATGAACAAGACTGTCCTCTACTTTCCTTTCCAATCCCACTCTGGTTACACTGTGAGGTCTAGAGAAGCACTCTTGCCCAGGCTCATCGTGTGCTTTCTTGGTACCTGGTTTCCCTTTGTAGTACTTCAGGTCCTCACCTTGTCACTTAGAGTTCAGATCCCAGCATATGTAGAAATGAATGTTCCCTGGCTGTACTTTGTCAACAGTTTTCTCATTGCTGCAGTTTATTGGTTTAACTCCCAGAAGCTTTATTTAAGAGATGGAATATTACCTGTGGATCCTTTTGTCAACTGGAAATGCTGTTTTGTTCCAGTCCATAGACTTAAGCAAGTGGAGAGGCCCGTATCCATAATCATCTGTTGATGTGCTGCCGTGTTGGGGGAACTCCCGTAGCACCAAGGATCAGTCTTACAAACAGGACAGGGGGGCTCAGGACACACACCTGAAACTCTTGGTCCCTAACTTTCCTCTTTTCAACACAGGATCTAAGGTGTGGTGGATATTAAATAGTAACACAACCAAGTTTTTATGCCTAGTCAGCAACATTGTGTATTTGGACATTGTGTAAGTATTTTGGTACTCATCCAAAAGTAAAATAAACACACTAACATGTGGGCCAGCTTGCTGTTTTACTCCAAAAAACTACTGGATTCAAAATGTTTAATAAATTTGAGGTTTCACTGCCAACTTTAAGATCTGAACTTAAATATTTCATCAACTTGAAAGCAAAAAAAAAAAAAAAAAAAAAAAAGACTTAAAATGATTTGGTATAAATAAACTTTAGGAGGGAAAGTAGCTCATTTTAAATCTAGCTAAAATATTTTATTACAAATATCCCTGGAAAGTTTCAGCTGTTCAGCTTATGTAGCTGGGAACCATGGAGGCTCTTGCCATGACATGCCAAATGCATGTTCATTTATAACATGTGCACATCAGATCATAATCATTTAGCAACATACGCTACAAAGTCTTGGGCTGTTGAGATTTAGGGCTTGATCTGTCTTATAGGGTAATCCCACACATTATATAGATGCCAGTGACACCTTCCCCAGAAGCAGCAATCAAAAACAGTCCCAAACTCCCTGGACACAACTCCCCACCCCTACTCCCCTGTGGAAGCCATCCCTGGAGGAAAACAAATGTGAATCAGAGTAAGCTGGAATCACTTTACAAATTAAGCTACATAGGTGTTTGGCTGTTATTTACAAATACTAACATATGTTCCCAGAACCACCCCTAGCATTTCTAAAGTTGAGTGTCTTTTAGGCTGGTGCTAGGTTCACTTGGTAGACTGCTTACCAGCACCACAGAGACCTAGCACCACAGAGCATTGTAGTAGTGTGTACCTGCCTGCAATCTTGCACCTGGGGAGGTCTAAGTGGGAAGATCAGAAATTCAAGGTCATCTTGGTTACCTCAAGGTCAGTCTGGTCTACATGCGATCATTCAGTCTTCCCTGTTTTAAAAAGTAGCTGTGACCTATGGAGTTAAGTTCATGATCCACAAACGGATTCTATCTAAAACAGCGCTGTACAGCAGCTGTAACCCGACAGGTTTGTGTGTACTAGCACTGGGTAAGCTTACATGTAGGGAGCCACTGATCTAATCACATGGACAACACTGCTGGGTTCTGTTCACATCTTCCTCTTGAAGAGAAGGAGACTAAATCGTCAACATTAAGAAGCTCACTCAGCTAGTGATGGAGGAGGTGAGACTCAAACCCTGGCTTCAGGCATGCTCTTTCCCATTCTCACACCATTCATTCGTTCACTTCTCAGACAATCTCTTATGATTGTGTTTTACTTAAAACATACAGTATCTATGCCATCTTAAGGAATTGAGGTCCTGTTTCCTTGAGCATCCGGGTCTTCAGGTTAGCACCAGCCACCCAGAGACAAGTTGGCAATGGTGCTGGATAATTAGTTCTGAGTGAGCTGCAAGTACAGGGTAAGGATTCCTGGTCTAAAATGCTTTTGGATAAGGGTTATTCAACGATGTCTGAAAAAGTTAAGGTATGGAACATTCCAGATGACACCTTATGATGCAATCCTAACTAACCTGAGCCATTCTAAGAAGTAGTAAAGTAAACCAAGAGACCATTTCATTTGTTAATGCAGAGGGCAGTTCGGCTGCCAATAACCTGAGGTTTTATTACCCCAAACAGAGCTGCTACTTTCAGATAAAACCTCATTTAAGTCATATACTTATCTGTGTGTTGCTATAAGGATATACTGGAAGGAAGGAAACTTAGTCATTAGGCTGAAGTATTTAAAATGTTTAAAATTAGGCATTAACACATAAGAGAAAGTAGGAATAAAAAATTACATTGTTCTATTTTTAAAATGCAAATAAATACAATTACATCCAAAGCCACCATACCTGATTTGTGTGGTGCTGGGGATTAACCCCAGGCCTTTGGGCATGCTAGACAAGCACTCTACCCACAGCAAAGCTCAGCAGACATAAGCGTGTGATCCAGTGTGCTTTTCAGATGGCAGAAGCAGCCTTTTTAACTGATGCATCTATGCTTTCTTCTCATTTTTTTTTTTTTTTTGGTTTGCTTTTGGGTTTTTTACCCCCTTCCAATTGGCCATAACATATATACTAAGCTATATTGAATTTAATGTATACTCTTTGTGGATTATATACCAGAAAATTTATAACCACTTCAGCTCTCCATTAAGGTCTTTACTTAGATTTCCCCATGATCTCTCAAAAGCTTAAAGAAGTAAAAATTCAATAACCAGACAGGTTTTTATTTGTAAAGAACTGAAGTTACAACTGGTCTACAATATATTATTGTAATATAAACAACATAAATAAAAGATCCTGTAGGCCCAGCACTGACCTTCCACCCAGAGCCATTCAAAGCCATGTCACAATACTCTGTGTGAGTGTGCAGGCAACAGCGGTGCAATCCAAGCCAGTTTGAGCAGCAGAGTATAAGGTGCTTCCGTTAGCAGCTAATGTTGCCAGCAAGCATCTGATGCTCCATTTTAGTCACTCCATAGACACACAAACAGAAGTCTAAAATTGATACACATGCGACTTAATATGAAAGTGCTTTCTCTTTTCTTAAAAAAATACATCAAATGAACACTTTTTACATAGATAATGATGTGCTCTTATAATGCAAAATTAACTTCATTTTCAGATTCTACATTGTAAAACTGTAGCTATGAACACCAGTCTATGAAGTCTATGCTAAGGTGCTACAACTATGTCATCTCCTGTGAGGACTATACAACACCCATGTAAGACACATCCATAGAACCTAAGTATTTGCTTAGTCTAAGATTAAAACACATTTTCTTTCCCCCTTGGTGGTGCTTTTTTCCTTGATGACTCATCTTCTGAGATTTTTTTTTATTATTATTATGAAACTTTGATTTTAAAAAAATGGGAAGAACCAAAAGGAACATTCAAAAAATGTGTTTAAAACATTAAAAAAAAAAAAAAATCACAGCAGTGTGCCACTGTGAAACAAATTTTAAGCAGTAAAAAGAAAAAATATTCTAAGTGAATCAAGAGACTTGAAGAAGTACCTTTTCCTCCTGTCAGCATCTAACCCTGTGCACAACTGTCTGCAACACACAACCTTCATTTGTAGCACAACTCTGCACTTTCCAAGAATTTCAGAATTTTGGAAAAAGGAGACCCATCTTTTGAATGAGGTGATCAGTGTGAGAAATCACACCCAAAATTTCAATCTCTGTATTCTTGGCTGAATTCTGAAGTTCCAAGAATACATATACAAAAACAGCATCAATGCAACAGAAATCTAAACAGCATGGGATACTTTACAACTTAGGTATACTTTAAAAGTAACTGCCAGATTACTGGGCTATTTAGATAAGTATACAAAAAAAAAAAAAAAAAAAAGGAAAAAACCTGTTTGAAAGCATCTATTATATATAGTAATCAAACAACTTTCTTTATTTGGACATTTTCCCACCTTAAAAAGCAGCTATGATACATAAGTTTGTAAAATATATTTTTATATCTTTATAAAGAATGTTATTATCAACTGATGTTAGTATTTAAAGTAAAATTTACAACCTGATTCACAGACTCCCAAAGTGACAAGGGAATTTACCCAATTAAATCTGATTTCACCTTTACTCCTCAAATACTGGCCAACGCAGCAGGCTCTACCTTGTTACCAGTCCTGCCTTATTCCAAAATGCAGTGCATACCCCTTCTGACTAGTTATAGCACACAATACATTCAACTATAGAAAGTGGTGGCAGCAGCCTGTTCTCCTGGCCTCCTTTCAGATGTCTCTGTTTTGGAAAACTGTTCCACTATCAATCAATACTGGATATAAATCTTTGCGACTAAAGATGCATTATGATTCCACATCAGCTTCTGTCATTCTGCCACGTAACTGTGCACAGGACCAGTCCTGACACTGCCTGTCACACACTCAGAGTTGGTAGTGGTAGGTGTTATTTCTGTTGTCGACAGTCAGGTAGATGGTCAGCAGATGTACAGTATGTGAAAGGTGGCATGAGAGTGGGGGGATATTATCTGGACCCTCAGGTGTTATTAAATCCCAGTTGCCAGGCAACAGGTCATTTAACTGGGAGTTAGTACATGTATGCTTAAGCAGCAGTGAGGCTGTTTGGGAAGACTTGATTTTTTTTTTTTTTTTTAGGTGTATATGCTACACACAACCCACAAATGGATGAATAAGTGCATGGGTGTCATTCAGCCAGGCTAGTGGTAATATATGTAGCTCAGGAATGTAATTTTAGAGTTGGGGGAAAGTGTTTTTTCAACGATGACTTACGCCAAAAGTCAACATATTTAGTAGTGCAGGTACTATATATTCAAATGAGATTAAAAGCCAAATAACTGCCCAAGGTGTCACACAGCTAATTTGCCATCTAGAGTAATACCAAGTCTCAAAGCCACAGTGTTTCATGTCCATTCATCATGGTAATGCAGCAAGTGTATTTACGTCACTCACTACTGAATAAAAATAGTAATTTTGCTCATTTTTTAGTACTCCCAAAACATTTAACACAGGCACTATGTACAAGGACTTTCAACACTGTACATATTTAGGTTACTTGAGGCAAGACTAAAACGTCCCTTCCTTCTACAGTGGATTCAATTTGTGCCAATGATATTTTAATCTCCATTCCTCTTCACCACTGTCAGAGAAAGGTCTACAAAGCACAGGTTAACACTGACATATTCTGTTAAGTCAATAAGCAATAGGTACTATGAGTATCTAAGATGATGACTGGCATTAATTCAGACAGTATAAAAGGACTTAACTCTTATATTTCATTAAAATTATGCCATGCTAACATAATGTTTTAAATTTATACTGATTTTTTTCAAAATTAAAATTCATTCATTACATATTTCTTTAAAAGTTTTGTCTTTCTATAGATTCATACCCAATACCAACAATATCATGGACAGCACTTGGAAAGCAATCTAGAAAGACCTCAGCCTAAAATATAAGGCGTTAAAAGCTCGTTGTGGATCTCACATTTTATTAAAATTATATTTCTAAATAAAACAAAATGTCCACAAGCTAGAAAAAGGGGGGAAAAAACCCCTGTGGAAATAATTTCCCACCACTATGGCACTTGCCAGAGAGTGTGTGTGTGCACATGGGACTCTGGGAGCACATCACTACAGAGGGCAGGACCTCCTAATGTTCATTTCTGGAACATGATGGCAATACATGTATTTCACTTGGTACCTTGTGGAAGTTCAAAAAGAAAGAAAAGTTTTCTCTTAATATACTTTTAAAGTAGATTGAACTCTAAACAAACATTCATACTTGTAAGAGCTTAATGTTTTTGGTAACTTTTTTTTTTAAAGTTAATGTCATTTCCAACATTTTAAATCCAACATTTTAACTATAAATTATAGGGTAATGCATTTTATAATCTTCTAACACAAGAGAAATATCTTCCCAGCGAACTTCTTAAGATGTATGGTTCAATGATTTAAAATTAAATATTAATAAGAAAATTTATTTACCATTTCTAATACTTATATTACTCATATAAACCAAAAACCAATCTTTGAGATGTAGTAAAATCCAAATGGACTGGTAAAATATCAATATTGTGAGTTAAATAGTTCACATGAGTCATTCTGCTTTACACCAACAACACAGGCAGGCCTGTGCTTCCTGGGATCCAGTCAGGGGAAACAGCCAGTCACTGATCCTCAGACTGAGACACAACAAACTACTTTACAGTGCCTTTCCTCATGACCGGCTACAAGGCTGCATCAGCTGTGGTATCTGATGTGGAAACTCCTCTCTAATCTGGCCACTCTCTCACAACAAACTTCTAAATTTTGACAGTACTCTCTTCCTCTTACTAGTTAGTTATCTAAAGAAATCCAGGATCACTCACTTGGGTACCAGTGGCACTATTAATATCAAAGTGCCTCACAGCACTTTGATAAGGTGATAAGAGAAAGAACTCATTTGATTATAGGAAAATCTTGACATTTAAAACCACCAGGGCTAGGTTTGGCATGGTGGCATAGACCTTCATTCCAACACTCGAGAGAAGGCCAGAGGATAACAATTTCAGGTGAGTCTAGGCAAACAAGCAAAAAACACAATATGTAAGCTCAGAGGTGGAATGTGAAACACTGACTTCAGTCCCTGGTACCAGCAAACAAAACAACTAACACACCCTAAGACCTTTGTATTGCTATAATAGGAGTTCAGCCACCCATTACAATGGATCATGCTAAATGCACCACCACCCAAAAAAGAAAAAAAAAAACAACAACAACAAAAAAGCTTTAGGGAACAACTAGTCACATAGACCTATGGTATACAAGAAACATAACTATGAAATGATTTGATTTGCATAGATGGAGAAGGCTTTCATTGAAATACACTGGTAAAATTATAAAGGTCTAGCCCCGTTACAAAATCATGAAGATTTCCAAGCCAGAATGCTATCCAACCCCAAACCAAGAACTAAGAAGAAAGCCCTGTGTGGTTTATTTGGGGTAGGGTTGGGGATAAAAGGGGCTTAATGGAGGAAATAAGACAAGGCCATTCCATGGCATTAACAATATCAGTAGGCAACAGGTGTTGCTGGCATTCACAAAGGATGAGGTCTTCAAACCACATCATATAGCCAGCCTCTTAGGTTGAAAACATGTCTGAAATGCTTTAACAGTATGACCAGTCAGAGACTGCATACACTGGACATAGCTGCAAGATGAGCTTCCTTGACATGCATCACTAAGAGTTTCTTCTTTCTAAAATCACCTACACACATGAGATCAAAGTCTAAAATTGACAGTATTTCCTCCCTACCACCCTGGTCCAGAATAACACTGAGCCCCTTAAAAGAGCTCTGAGTTCTGAGGCATACAACTAAACAAACTTGTGAGAATTGTGTCCCATGAAAGACTTCAATCCAAAATTGTATTTGTAAACAGATATGTGACTACAATTTTACACTTAATATATGAAGACTGACTATGTGAAAAATTATTCAAAAGCATGGTCTCACACACTAGTCTTCCAATACAAAAACAAAAAGAGGAAAGCAGTGGGATTCCTAAAACATAGAAAACTACTTCTATTTATTTAGGAAAACATGAATTTTATATCAAAAGTGCAGGAATTTGTTCAATGTTGCAATGATGGAATGAAAAATGGGAAGTTCCATTTGCCCCTTAGCCCTCTCTAGTTCCTTCACTACCATCTCCTTCCTCTTTTCTAACGTCTCTCCTCACAGGTGACAGCTTTAACCTGAACTTTACAGTTCCATTTAGAAAAAATCCACAACAAATGGAAGTGAATGTAGCAATCAGTCACCTGTGCTGATTTATAACGAAGCTGTGCCGCTGTGCCCTACACATGTCTACACAAAGCTTGTAAGTACTGTCATATAAAATAACTTTTACAAGCCAGCTGTGCATTTTCCTAAGAACACAGAACTTAAAATGTGAAAAGCATGTTCCTAGTGCAAAAGGAGTTTTAATTAAGGAAATACAAACTCAGGTAGCAAAATAGGAAGAACCCATGTTCCCTTTCTGCTAGTCATTTTTTTCCTCCAATAAAGTTCTAAAAGCACTTAGTAATACACAGGAAAAGAAAATGGCATCCTTCCTATCTATGTCATACTGAACAGACTAATGCTCAGGAGATAGGGGACATAGGGTATGTGTCCCATTACATGTAACTGAAATTTTCAGTTTAGGATGATTAAATTATCTAGAAAGAAATACCTGCAGCAATGGGAGAACTACCACATAACAACAAATGAGCCACTTTTAAATAAAACAGCCCACTTGCAGAAAAAAAAAAAAAAGTGTATTTTCTAGTTGGATTTAAGTGCAGATAACAGCAGATCTGGACTACTTCTAAGATTAAAGACAAGAAGGCATTCTCCAATAGAAACTCATCTTGTAAGATGCTTAAGACAGTGCTAGGCCCAGGGGTTTCTCATATGCACACAATGGGCTGATTCTAGTAGAAGTGTAGAGTTAATACCTTAAAGGCTATATGTAAGTATTTGTAGGAGGGAAGCATTATTGCTGGAGGTCTATACTGGACAATCAAGTCTGCATTAACTGGATTACTACAATACAGTTTTAATTCCAGAGGAAATCTGCCTTTGTGCTTCCTTCATATATTAGGCAATCTCTTAGTGCTGCTTAGCCTATGTTTAGGAGACTAAAGGGAAAATGTATAATAACTGCCATGATGACTCATTGCTAATAAATGAGATGGACTATAGAGTACCTACCTTCCTTGAAACATTAATAACAAAATATGATATAAAGAAATATATAAAGAGACTATACTACCTTAGGTTTGAAACATGAGCCTCAGGCTACTTATACATTTTGAGTCTACACAGGACTACCAGTGAACACTTCTTAAACTACTGCACTAACAATCCCACAAAGCATACATTCAAACAAGAGGCATCTAAAGATTAAAAAAATTACCCACTATATTTTTGTATAAAAATAACTGACATTTTCTAATGTACACAAAGCCAAAAGATAAATATCTGTAATACCTTTGTGACGTCTATTAGTCTTCTATTAGCTCAACATAATCTCTGAAAAGAGCGGTGAAAATGTGAGCTCAGACTCTTGTGGTCTCTTACATCTGTGGCCAAGGATCTGCTATCTGCTCCTTCAACTGTTCAGATTTCTCAATGATGTAGTAAGGATAGAGAAAGCAAGCCTGTCATCAAATCTTCCAATGTCCAGCACTTATAGGCTCTCAGAGCACCCACAGAAAATTCTGTCCTAATGTCCTAACTCTACAGAAAAATAACTGCTGAGTGAAAACTTTTGATTAAGAGAAATCACTTTAAATGCTTTGTGGGAAGGACCCAAGGACTGAGTAAGGGAGAAAGAAATGTGCACTGTAGACAGATTCAGCACAAGGAAGGGATCACACCTCCACTGCCAGAAGCACCTCCCAGACATTGACTGCATCTTACACCTTCATCAGTGCAGAGCAACAGTTAGGAAAAGGTGAGCCTGGGCCAGTGCCAGACCAGAGCCACATGTTCTGTAATTCAGCCTAATCTTATAGACCAATTTTATGGATTTTCTTCCCTTTTCTAGTATACAGTAAAACTGTTAGAAAAAAATACTTCAGCAGAACATTATACCATTTGAATAATACTTCACTAAACATGTACTGCTCCTTATAGCCATCTTTACGTGTGTCCCTGAAGGTGAAGAAGAGTGACATACAGCGCTCTTTGTTCACCAGGGCTTCTCAACACTGGCACTACTGGTGTCTATAGTGTATCATTCTTGGTAATAGTCCTGTGCACTGAGGGATATTCAAAAACATCTCTGGCTGCCACTACCACCTCAACCTCTGTAACAACCCTCCCCAAAACTCAACCACAAGCTGTGGCAACCAAAACGCGTCCAGATATTGCCAAATGCCCCTGGAGGACAAAAAGAGATCGCCACTGAGGACTATTGCTCTTAATGTACAAAACCAAGAGAAACATTGTCAGTCATGCTGATTGCAGGGAAGTCCAGAATAGACTCTTGTGACCTCCAAAACACTGCTTATGCAAGAACACAATCTTTCTTCACAGCCAAAGCATTTGTCTGGAAGATATGTTTTGAAAACATACTGATATTTCATTGCATTAAATTCTGTCAATGGTTTCCTAAATTACTCTATATTTCTATGATAACCTTTGGAAAACAAACAGGGTAGAAAAACATGTAAGAAAACAGAATCAAAGGAGGGAGAGTGTAAATCAATAATTACTTTAAAAGGATTCTTTTATATTAATGATAAATATTACCTTTAAAAAATTATCTAGTATGTGTTTCTTTGAAAAATATGGGCCTCTATAACAAGTCTTTTGGTGTGGTATGTAATTGGTAAAATTAACTTCACCAATGTTGGCTAATTATGAAAATGTATGATGAGTCAGGGTACATGAAGAGAAATGTCGGCACTGGAAGTGCGGTCCCAGTGTGCTTGGCCTTCCATCATCAGCCTAACATTCTCAGCCAAATGAGGCTTTACCTTTACCTACTAAGAGGAGTAAAACTGATAGCACATGAAAGCCTTGGGTTCCTGTTAAGAGTCCTTCAGAGAGTTGATGCGTGCACAGATCTTCAGGGCTGGGCCCAGCTTGATATTCATTGCACTCATGAGATGGTCTTCTTTTAGCAAGAGCAGGGCCTGTCCATCAATCTCTTGTGCCCGGAATTCATCTGCAACATCCTGGCAGCCTGTAATTCCAGGAAAGAAGAGTTAGAGTTACACACAATTAGATGGAGCTCCTAGCAGTGACAGTTCTGCTGTCCCTGGGCCTGTGAGTCTATAACAGAGGCTGCTAAACCAATGTCCTGGTAAGCCTGGGGTTCATCATTGAAGAAGTCAAAACCAAGGAAAGAGTTTATTTGCCCTAAAAACATTGCAGAAATAATAGCAAAAGGTAAAAGGGATCAGACAATACATTGCACTAAGGACTTCTCATTCTGAGATTTTATACTTCATGGGCTCATCTTCCCATAACATAACTTCACATATAGGCAGAAAGGAATAAAATGTTTTTCCATAAATGATAATCTGGAAATATTTTCTCAAGTGTCAGATTAAATTTTCATTGTCACCTGTACCTTCTTTGAATTCACCTAACTTCAAATATGTCTAAAGTACTTTATTTTTCCTTTAGGACATAACAACCCTCCCAAGATTGTTGTACTAACACATTACAAGACTGCTGACATACATCACACTGCTCAACTTGTAATGTCAACTTCAAAGCTTAACATCACTAAGCTCATTTCTATTGTTCATTTTCTCTTTGAATAGTCTATGTAGCCTATAGGCTGATCTTGTTATCCTGCTTTCCCACATACATGCTGGGATCACAGAAAAGTGCCATAGCCCCACCCCGCCCCCTAGTGGTGTTAGGAACAGAACCCAGAGCCCAGAACCCAACCCAGGGGATGGCAGGCAAGTGCTCTACCCCTGAACACATCACCACAGCCCTCAGCACTCCTTATCATCACTTTGGGGGGGGGACTAAAACAAACAAACAAAAAACAAAAACAAAAAAACAACAACAAAGAAACATACAAAACAAAATACTACAGGGCAATCTCCTGCCAAGTAAGCAGTACATAGCCTCAACCTAATGCAGGCTCTTGCCAACTGAACCAAAATACCCAATCACTCCCTGTCATGGGAAAAAGAACACTAAGTTAGGCAATGAACTAAGGAGCCCATAGAGCACAGAATGCAAGAGCATGAAAGCAGCTTTTCTGATAGTAAGATTATAAAAGTTGGTTTAAGAACAACATCCAACAGCTTTACTGCCCTTTTGTATTCAAATCAGTATTCCATGGGGAATCACAGGAAACAGATGGAAAAAGGAAATGGTTAATTTGCACCTTGGAAAACAATGTTTGCTAGGACAGTTCTCCTTTCCATTGTAAATGTCGCCCTCTAGCTTGTAGTAAGATAACTAGGCCTACCCTACAGACCCAGGAGTACCCCCAAAGCACTACAGTGTATCATACACACATTTACATAAGGATGGGTGGAGAAAGGATGAACTGGAAAAATGTCATCCACTGTAGAGCTATCTGTAGCAGTAACATGTTTCACTGTGTGTTCATTTGTGGGGCCATCATTTTCCTCAGTGTTCCTCACTGTCTTTTATTTCTCTTTACTGCATCTTATACAGCAGCCACCTTTTCAATTTCTCTATTTTTGGTAATTTCTCATATGTTCAAAAATTTAGATTGCAAGATCCTGTATAAAATTTGTATGGCTTTGCCCATGTACCACACATAAGAAACCATATAATGAAGCAAGATTACTCACCATAGAAAAGCCCTTTTTCTTTTCCCAGACGTAGCTCTTAACAAAACTGACTAAACTTGCATCTAGTTGTGATTTCATCCTTCTTTTATGGAAGAACTAACACTCTTGTCTCCAGTCTTATTTTTAACAACCAGGGAAGGAGAGAAAGAAGGTAGGCTTACTTAGATTCAGAAATGAGGAATGAGGAGGGTGAGGACCACCAGATCTCCACAAGAGTTCCCTGAGAGGAAACACCAAACATGCTATCCTTCCTCTTGACTAGGTTCCTTTCCAGATGGCTGCTTGTAGGTAGACAGTAAAGTTATTGGTAAAATAGTTTCAAAGTGTACTGGGAAACTGCAAGATTAAATAACACACATTCTTGTCATTTTTAGATCCCAATTTTTTCAAGCCAACCACAAAAAGCATCATTAGCACAGAAAATAAACTCATAGAAAGGGAGGGAGACAAGCAAGTAGACATCTAGAAACTCACTGGAAAAAAACAAACAAACAAACCAAGATTTTCTTTTTAAGTATTCAAGATACTCTGAGTTAAAGTTTTGTGAGAGACTGACACCCTGATGGACAGCAGCTCTCACTATGAGTGTCTGAAGCCAAGCACTGAGTACAGCACACGCACACACAAATGAGGCTGCCTCACTCACCCTGATAAAGTGGAGAGCTCTAGGGAAGGCACTGGCCCTGCTCATGTCCCAGCTGAACTTCCCAGTGTCCATACTCACTTCTCCCACTTTGAAATCTCAATCAAAACATTCTACTTACAAAATGACCTCACTAACGTTACAGGAAAGACACCAAGTGCCACTCAACACTACAGAATAACCATCCCCAAAGACAGTAAACAGTTATACTTTAAAGAGATGATTCCTTCACAGAAATCCAATCCAGATTCACAGATCACTATAGAATAATCTTTCTGAAAGGGCAGCTCACTAAAAGTTAATACAGAAGGTAACCAGAAGTGTTCTGTGGAGAATTGCTAATGCACCCAAGTTGTGTTAATTTTCTCTCTGATAACAGCTCTGAGATATGAATTTGCAACTTGGAAACTTTAACATAGTCCCAATGAATATTTAATAGCATGATACCACAAAGATAACAGAAACCCAGGGGTAAATACAGGTGCCCTGATTACAAGGAAGCCCATCGTACCTGGAAAGAAAATTAAGAGATCACAAAATGTATAAATTCATTCCTACTATTGAGAAAAGCTTCTAAAAATACTCAGGAAAAAGAAACAATGTTGAATAAGCTCAGAAAGTTATTTATAAATGCCAGAGAGGCAGAAAGAAAGAGAAACACTTCACAGAAGATTTACCCTAGGATACCCTGAGGAAAACTTTTGGAAAGGCAATAACTGATTGCACAAATAGTATTATTTGGTTCATTAAAGCAATTCAGAAATGCTCCCATTTCATTGGGGGAGGAGAGAGAGAGAGGGAAGGAGGGGTTAGGGAGAAAGGAAGAGAGGGAGATAGGAAGGGAGGATGGACAGACTAAATAGAACTAATCAACGCTGTTTCTTCTCAATGACATGCAGTGTTCCTAAGTGCATAAGACAAGAATGGATTGTCCAGTTTGGGCTATGGCTGCTGAACTCAAATGAAGAAAGAGCAAGGTCAAGATCTGATCTAAAGAAGCAGTCCAGAGTGGTACAACACCCAGTTACTAGGGAACTGCCATAAAAACAACACTCAAAGTGATGTTCTTATGGCCCAGCACAATTTGCTGGTTATTTGGGACAATTAATTTCATTAGGCTATAAAGCAACTCCCCTACCCAAAGGGAAAAATACGTTGCCCTAGTAAGAACCCAGGTTCACAGACATACTACACACCCCTTGGGAAACAGACTGCAGAGCAGGGCAAAACGTCAAGCCCTGGGTGATCAGAGTGGGGTGGACTCCAGTGTTAAGACAGCTAAACTGGTCTGAAACAAAAAATTTAGTTTTATTTCCTTAAATATTAAAACAATCATCAGTAAGGTCCACTAACCCCGAAGAGATCAAGTTTAGCAGAGTCCAACAGCTATTAATATACAGCTTATTTTTCTTATGCAGGTGCTTATAAATTTACATGAAATATACTCCCTTTAAACAATCCCATTTTTTATTTTGCTTAAATAAATTTGTTAAAAAATACCTTGTTTTGTTAGAAATTTTGTTTCTAAATTTTGCATTTAAAAAGCTGTGATATAAAATAAAGTTTTGCAGCTGGACAAAACAGCCCTACAGACTACAGCTAGGATCACCATCCCCCAAGACGCGCCCCCCAAATTCCCAAATATTGTGTATAAATGTTTGTTTTCATTTAATTGGACTTTGTTATATAAAATTAAATAAAAAATACTCTATATGCATAAAAAAATAAAAAAAAAATAAAAAAAAATAAAATAAAATAAAGTTTTGGAGTCAGTATAGAAGGTAAAATTTAGGATGACAGTTTTTAAATTACTATTTCTAAATTTATTTCCTTCAACTGTTTGCTTCTGAAACTTTGGTTATGTTCAAAGGAACAATATCTCAATTTAGTTAGCTCAATATGGAGGGACTGGGGTGAGTGGGATTGGGGAACATGATATGAAAGTCCCCCCCAAAAAAAATCAATAAAGAATTATGTTTTTGTTTTAAGTATCTGATAAATAACCCACGTGAGATGTACTCTTCTAGAAAGCTTGAAGAATGGGAATGGTACAACTCACAATGAGACCAGAAGGAAACACATTTTTAAAATCTCATTTTCTAGGTTCATAAGGTCATACATTTAGGGTGAGTCTCACTGCAAGCAAAGGCCCCACCATCTTTGACCACCATAAAGACTATTACTTAAAGAGAAAGGAAGCTGAAACTGGTGAGGAAGTAGAGAGAGCAGGCAGGCAGGCAGGCATAAGGATGTAATATTTTACAAAGGGATCAAGTCTACCCTACTCTATAGTATTGATTAGCTTTCAAACACAAACACACACACACACACACACACACACACACACACACACACACACACTTTCTTGTTTCGGTTTCAAAAAGGGTTAGCTGAAGAAATGAAGAGGGAAATTATTAGGAAACAGAAAGCAGAAAGGGAGAAGTGTCTGACCCCCTCTCCTGCCCTCTCGAGAGAATCAGACTGGAACAGAGAGAACCTTATCATCCACCAGTTGGGGCACCAGAGCAATGGCAGGACTAGTCCATTTGTACTAATCTGGGGTATGAAAGAGTACAGAGTCATGTTGAGGAATAAGTAAGAGGAAGCAGATCCCATTTCAATATTAAATGCCATTATATTTACACACACAGTTTCTCTAGCCTTTAATGCCAAGGGTATGGATGAACTTTACATCATTTTCTTGTGAAGGCACAAGAAAAACATCCAGGCTAGTGTGATGAGTCACATACCAGGCAAAGAATGGATGAAGGCCCAGACATCATCGACCGTCCATATAGAGGGCTCTGTCTGTGCAACTGGGAGCAAGTCACTGTTCTCAGGCATTTTCCTAATTCTCACATCTCGAAGCTCACGTTCTCTTTCCCGTTCACTCTGCCTGCGCAGACGAGTTGTCATAGCAGAGGGCACAGAATCTTCATGAGAAGCCAAGTCTTCTTCTGCAGATGGATAAGTAATTGGAAGCTGGAAAATGCAGTAAAGTAAAATACAGCATTGCACTTTCCTTGCACTTCTGAAAAGGACAATGTATATTGAAGCAAACTTTCTACAGACCTGCCTAAGGATATGTTCTCTTGCTGTTCCTTCAGGGCCACTTGGACGACGGCCCCGATGCCCAAGACTTTGATTATCAGGCTTACGATTCCAACGACTTAGTGCAAATTTTTTAGAACAGCTAACGTTGTACCTAAGAAATTCAACAAAGAAAAATTAAGCAACACATGGACACCCCATTTAGAATTAAGTGTAATTTTAAAACAATTGTGACATAGTAAGTACTAGATAATAAGGACTGCAATACCTCAAAAGTAATACTGTATACCTATAACAAAGTAATGGTATTTTTTCCTGATTAGAGAATAATGAGAAACCTGCAAAATGCATAAGATAATTTGCAAAGCAACAAGAAAATCCATGGTTCCAGAAGAGATATTCTGTATATTTCCAGTGCTTATTTAAGCTATTTTACAAGAAGTATATTGGGTTTTGTTTTGTCTTACTGTTTTTAGTGTGTGTGGAAAGGAGTGTGCATATGCATATGTGTGGGTACTGGAGCACATATGTGTGCAGATGCATATGCACATGTGGAGACCAGGGTTTGAGTCTCAGCACACAGTGGAGGCTCACAACTGCCTGCACCCCCCCAGTTCTAGAGGATCCAAGGCCCTCTTCTGGCTTCCACATCAGCCACACACACAGTGCACAGATATTCTTGGAGGCAAAGAACACAGACATTAATTTTGTTATTGATCACTATTCAAGAATAACAAATGTAATTTTGTTTATCTATGTTTTATGAAACTATAAGAGACAGAAGTAAGGAATACTATGAGAATTAATGAACTATTTGTCTTCTAACGATGCAAATGTCCCTGAGAGCCGCTGAGAGAACCGAAGAAGCCCTGCTGGGTTCACATGAGTTTATCTGTGGGCTCAGCAAAGTGAAATTTTGATTTCTAATTAACAACAGGTGACAAAGCTTACTACTGAGGAAAGGAAGGAACTAGCTTTGTGTTGGCAGTTGCTGCTTGTATATTTAGCTCTCCAAGACTGACAGCTAAGTAGCCTTGGAAACAGCAGCAGCGATTCCCTGCTGATTCAGCCTCTCTTCCTTACTCTGTCAGACACACTTCACTATGCCAGGGTCCCTGACCTAAAGAGGTCCATAGGAAGTATACTATAGACCAAGTCAGTCATCGTTTCTGGGCAAAGGGTAATGACAGATAGTGTTAAGTGTCTTGATAAACTTCTCAATAGTCAAGAGGTTTACAATATCCTGAAAGACAGACCATTTCCCAAATTTACAAGCGTTTTTTAACCAGCATTAGAAAGTACTGTTTTTCATGTGTTAAAAGTAAACTGAAATTCAAATTAGAACATAAATCCTATGTGATCTTATTTTTATTGCTAATTACTTTGGAAAGTTGGTTACAACTTTTTTAAAAATGAGACTAATATTCTATTATGTACTTGTCATGCTACAGCAGAGATTCTCCAGAGCATACCCTTGCACCAGATGACTGTGGCTTCGTGAGCGTATAGTATGAAACTGAATTATTAGCACATAATTATCACTTAGTAAATTCTAGTAACCAGACACAGAGTAAGTGGCTGCTGATGGCACCTAACCTTCCCTTTGTTATCACAGCTAGGTCCTACCAAAGCTCGACTGTAACTGTGTCTTGACTTTATGGCAAAAATTACTGGTTCTCCCTCAGCAAATCCAAGAACACCAACATACCTTTTGGCACATGACATAGTACAGAATCGTTTTGACCGTAAGAATTCATTAGGATATCCCATTTTTCCACAGAATTCACACTTGAGCAACTCACTATCCATTTCTTCTAATGTCTCTAAAAAAGGGAAAAAAAACCAAAAACAAAAACCTGAGTGTGTCAAAATTTCTTTCAGCCTCTAATTCTAGTTACACAACACTGTGAGACCAGGATTTCTTCACCTTCTTTGGATCCCAAGCTACTGTGGTTGGGCTCCTACTAATTCCTTGTTTCTACATAAAAATGATGGTCTTTTTTTCTGTACAATACATTTATACAAATAAGCATAGATTAGTTTTGCTAAGAATCCAGCATGACTAAAATATGCAAACAAACAACAATATATGATTTATAAACCCTGAGAAATGAAGACAGTGACATATACTCATTGCCCACAAGAAGGAACGTTTTCAAAAGCAGAGTGTGGGATATAAATTTGGTGCACTAAGCTATGAAGACTTACAGCAGGGAAAGCTTTAAATTCCTAGTGGAGAAGAGAACGACTTCAAAATGGACAAACTTCTGCATGTATGATTTTAGTGGGACATGTAAAATATTTAACTAAGAGATCTGAAGTGTATGACCAATTTTATAAAGATTATATATTATCAATGTATAAAATAGTTCCTTTTATTATTAAATAAAATTAATTCTGCTTTTGAAATCTCAAACAGTCTCATAATGCCCAACTATTTGATAGGGAATATTCTTCTGTATATATGTTTCTCTTATTGGTTAATGAATAAAACACTGTTTGGATAGTGGCCAGGCAGGAAGGATAGGAGGGGCTGCCAGACAAGGAAAATTCTGGGAAATATAGGCAGACACAGTCATCAAGTAGCCACCAGGAGGATAGGGTGCACCATGTGAAATACTTAGATTAATAGAAATGGATTAAAAATTAAGACAGAGTTAATAATTAAGACAGAGCTAGCCAATAACTCCAAGCCACCAAGCAACAGTTTCATAATTAATATATGTCTCTGTGTGTTTATTTTTGGGACTCATGAGTGGTGGGACCAGCCAGGCCAAGAATCTCTCGTATAGCATCTTGGTATGTTTATTTGAAGTCAAACGGCTGCGAGAAGCTCTCTTTACAAAATGGTACCAACAATGTGGGTTGTACAAATTTCCATGTAAAACCTGACAAAACCTTAAAAAGGGATTTTAGAAATAAAAGAACAGAGATAAGCACAGCCTCTTGGTAGCAGCATTTTCTCAGGTGGGCTCTTTGCTAGAGACAAGCAGAGACTCATGGTTCCGTTAAGGGAGGCTTCCTGACTCAGCATAAGCAGCAAAAACTGCAAGGCTCTGCTAACAACTGAATGGTGTGTATGAGCAGTTGGCAGTGGCAGTGACTGTATCTCCAAGCTGGCAACATGCTGCTTAGTGGCAGCATAGACCAAGGCGGTGAGCATAGCTCCCAGTGCTGGCGGTAAACGTAGCCACCTGCCCCCACCTTCTTGGAAAGCCAGCAGCTAAAAGAGCCACTGCTTTAATTTTAGCAATGTTGTCTAGCAGATAAAAGACTCATGACCAGAAAAAGATAAAGATTTACAGTAAAGACAGATTCAGATGAAGGGTTTAAAGGGTTTATAATATGTTTAAAAATATATGTAGGCTTGGAAGAGAAAAGAAAAAGAATAAAGTTGTTAAAAGAAATAGAGTAGTAATAAAAATTTTTAAAAAGACATGTAAAGATGGAAAGTGCACAAAGAGTCTGGATACTGTATGTTATTGTGTTGTCTTTGAATTGTTTGATTGCTGAGGAAAGAGCAACAGCTGCTAAAAGACATTTGATTATAAATGCTGCTGGATTAATCCAATGTATATATTTTAAAAATGCCTTGACTTCAAAATTTAAGTCTAAGGACATGTTACTTTGGAAAAAATATTTTATGTTTCCACAGAAAATGAAAAGATGTAGATTCCTTCCAGACTACTATGGTTTGATGAAGCAAGACTCCCTGAAGCAGTGGCCCAGGTGATCCAATATTCAAAAACAGATGAAGCTATGCAGCCTCAGACTACTACAGCCAGGATTTTGCCAGATTTCTCATGATCCCCATGGTTTTGACAGCACCCCCAAACAGTAGGAGGCAGTTTGAAGAGAATTATGCCCAAATTCCTAAATAATATTTATAAATATTTGTTTTCATTTAAATGAAGTTGGTTATAAATGGTAATGATCAGAACCAATCTCTTTCTAAAGGTAAAAGGAGGAATATAATATAGAAATGAATACTTTGTATTGGTATAGATTTTCATTTATTGATACAAAGTTAAGGTCAATTATGCTCTATGTATATTTCTCTTGTTTAGGTATTGTGTTTATACAGATCTTTTAATGTATAATTAAATAAGATGATAGTCACCTATAACAATCAAAACTTATAGTTTGGTTAGTTAGGTTTTCTAGATATAAAGAGATATATTTGAGATGGCTAGATAGCCTTCAAACCTTTCAAAGGCCTACAGAATATGGCATTTAAAATGGTTTAGGGTTTTTCATGACAGTCAGACACAACTGCTCCTGGCAATACCAATTACTTCAGAGAGAAAGATGAGCATTGAAAAAACTCATTATGGGGTTTGCCGTCAATATGGCAAGACTAGCTATTTGGGGGGGGGGGACTGCTCTTGCCTGGACTGTTTGACTTTATTCTGTCCAAACTGGACATACAGGACCCATAGGAAAGTGACTGCTGTATTTTCCAAAACAAGATGGGTTCCTGCTTCATGGAAGAGTCTACCAGACATTCTGCAGGACACAGAAAAATGACTGACAAACTGCCAATACAGGCAGACAGTTTAAAATTTCCTGCTTCACTGAGAAATCTTCTAGACACACTATAGTCTGTAGGTTGAAGATGGATGCCCCAACATTATAGAAGAACTTCGAGTGACTGTCTAGGCAGCAAGATGTCTTGGGCAATTCTAGAATTTATATATCCATCCTTTGATGGAGTTGGTTAATAGTATTTACAAACTCACTGTATGTAAGTAAAACTGAATTCTTTCCAAGTGGACATCTATGCAGAATAAAAAGCCACACTCTGTTTCTAGTAGTAAAAACCAAAGTTAAATCAAAGGTTTGATGAGATCCACAGACCTTCCGCAATCATGTCTTCCATCTCTGTGTCAGATGAGTTATCTGCGTGCTTTGTGTTATTTTGTAACTCTGGCTGAACACACACAGAGTTCACCACCTGATTATCCAAAAGAGGCCTCTTTTTCACAGGTTGTTCTATCAGCAAAGATGAACGACTCACCTTTAAGTGGGAAAGAGAATGAAAAGTAATCATCTGTAAAAATTAGCCAGAAATAGATGAGTCTAATTTTAAAATGATCACTCTGGAAGAATGGTAGTTGTAATGTTTACTTACTCAATGATCAAATCCAATCATTAAAGGTGAATCATCAAGTAAACTATTCTATACATACATACTGCTAGCCAGTAGCAGAATATATACTGTAGGCTGTCAAATACAATGCACTGCTGTTTTAGGCAAGTAGCTAAGAAAAAGTCTTAAAATCTAGTGATTCCTCACACTTGTAATATTAAAACAGAAGCAATCAGATTACCCTGCAAAATGGAAAAGCACTGAAAGGGAAGTAATTGCTGTTTGAATTGACTTATTTTGCAGCTCTGGAGGTTTCATGAATGCAAGGTTTTACACTGAGCTATATCCTCATCTGTTTCTTTAGAATGTAAGATGGCTTCTCACTATGTAGCTCCTCTTGCCTCAGCCTCTGTCCAGTGCTGGGATTCTAGTCCTTGGCAATGTCCATGCCCAGCTTCAATTTTCACAGTACTATCTCTTTTTCCCAGAGCCTTGAATACACCATACTAGCTCTCTAATACAAGGCTGTTTGTATCTGCAAATATTTTATGATTTGGTGGTGAAGATTAGGGAACAGCCATGGGTGTGTTTATCCTTGCACAGGGGATACTTTACCAGCTGAGCCTTCTCCCCAGCTCACACTGCCCCCCCCAGAATGCATGTGCATGTGTATGCATGTGTATGCATGTGCGCGTGTGTGCGTGCATGCATGCGTGCGGTGCATTTGTGCATGCGTGTTATGTGAAGAAGAAAGAATGTACTCAGCACATATGTGGACAGCAGAGAACAACTTTATGGAATTAAGTATGTTCTTTTTAACTTTATGTGGGTCCCAGGGATCAAACTCAGATTGCCAAGTTAGCAAGGAAATGGCTTTTACCTGCTGCACAATGTGCATATCTAATAGAGTGCTAATATGCAAAGGATATAAAAACTAGATACCAAGAAAACAAATAACCTGGTTTAAAGGTGGGTACAGATCTACAGTGCCTAGCTCAGTCATCATCAGAGAAGCTTCTTTCTGCATCAATGAGAATAAATATTAAGACCCACAGCCAGAGATTATACAGAAAAGAGAGAAAGACTCTGGAATACTCAGCCCTAAATAGGGTGTACCCATCAAATCTCTTTCCTTAGAGGTCAGAGAACCCTGTGGAAGAGGAGTCAGACAGAGTGTGAGAGCCAGAGGGAATGGAGGACACCAGGAGAACAAGGCCTCTAAATCAACATGATCACAGTTCATATGAATTCACAGAGACCGTGGCAGCACGCACACAGCCTTCACCAGTCTTTACCAGGTTCTTTAGTGTTTTTATGTGATTCCTCAGTTTACAAATGAATGGGTTTCTGGTTTTTGTACCTTCTCTTATGGGCTTTTTCCTTCTGTTGGTTTGTCTTGTTCAATTTTAAAGTGATAGTTTTGTTTTATTTTATTTATTGTCCTTTAGAAGCCTGTTTGTTTTCTAGTGAGATACAGAAGGGGAGTTGACCCAGATGGGAGAGGAGGTAGGGAAGAACTGGGAGGAGTAGAGAGGGGAAACCATAATCAGGATATATGTGAGAAAAAAAAAAAATCTAATTTCCTCAAAAGAGGAAATCCAAATGGCTGAGAAGCACTTAAAGAAAAGTTCAACATCCTGAGTCATCAGAGAAATGTAAATCAAGACTACTTTGAGATTTCATCTTACAGCCATCTGAATGGCTAAGATCAATAAAACAAATAACACTTCATGCTGGCAAGGACATGGAGTAAGGTGAGCACTCATCCATTGTACAACCACTATGGAAATCAGTGTGGAAGTTCCTCAGGAAGATGGGAATTGATCCAGCTATCCCATTCTTGAGCATATACCCAAAGGAAGCTACATCCTACCACAGAGACACTTGCCCAACCATGTTCATTGCTGTTCTATTCATAATAGCCAGAATCTGAAAACAACTTAGAAGTCCCCCAACAGATGAATGTTTAAAGAAAATGTACATTATTTACACAATGGTATATCACTTTGCCATTTAAAAAATGAAATCATGAAACTTACAAGTAAATGGATGGAACTAAAAAAATATTATCCTGAGTGAGATAACCCTGACCCAAAAAGACAAATATGGTATGTATTCGTTTGTATGTAGATATCAGCTGTTAAGTCAATGATAACAAGCTACAATCCATAGAATCACAGAGGTTATGTACAGAGTAATGAATTGGGGGAGGGGAATAAGGAGTAAAATGGTTATGGATGGATGGGGCAGGAGACTAGAATGGGAAGATCAAGTGGGGAGGGAGAAGGGTTACAACAAAAGGAACACAATGGGAGACAATTAAAATTAAGGGCCATTTGAGGGGTAGTATGAAAACCTAATACATATACATATATATACATATATATGTATATACCTAAAATATATGCATATTTGAAGGTTATGTAAATGAAATCACCAAATAATAGGAAGACAGAGCCCCAACTTGTCACTAAATGAAGTTTCCAGTACTGGGAATAGGTTCCATCTAATTGAGTTGTTGGCCAAAGTTATCTCATGGGACTCCCCAAACAACCAGGCTGCTGCCAAGACTCTTGAGTTTCTCTCCACAAACTGACAGCAAGGCCCCATTGTTAAAGACCACACCTACACAGCTCACTGAACATAGAAAAGTTGAGCTGGTGTCTCCATACAGCCCCCACCCCGCCCCATGATCTAGCATAGTTGGGAAAGGAGGGTACTCAGAACAATATCCACAAACCTTTTGATATTTAATGGTGTTCTCTCTGAAATCTGCCAGTGCAATGGTGGCATAAATTGTGTGAGAGTAACTAATGTTTGACTTGACTTAAGGCCCACTCCACAAGATGGGACCCATACCCAACGCAGCTTGCGTAACCAAGAATCTGAGACTAGATAGCCCAGGAACATACAACAAAATCAAATGTTACTGTTCTTTTTGTTTGTTTGTTTTTCAAGACAGAGTTTCTCTGTATTGCTTTGGAGCCTATCCTGGAACTCGCTCTATAGACCAGGCTGGTCAGGAACTCATAGAGATCCACCTGCCTCTGCCTGCCAAGTGCTGGGATTAAAGGCATGTGCCACCACAACCCAGCTTCCTGTATCTTTTTACACTACAAATCCTTTGCATATATAAAAATGGCTTCCAGATTAGTGTTTTTATGGGATTCTTGAGTGTGCAAACAAGTGGATTTTTGTGTCAAATCTGTTTCATGTGCCTTTTCTTTGGTTATTTTTTTTTCTGTTTTTTTGTTTTGTTTTGTATATTATGGCTGTCCATAAAGTAGAATATTATGTCACCTTTGGTGTGTGAGTCAAGAACTATAACCACCACATTACAGAAACTTGATTTATGTCACCTTTCAAAATGTATAGTATGTTATTGATATAGAAAAATGTTCACTTATGAAGTAAAAAAAGAATTGTATATACAATAATAATCTTCATTATGTGAACATACATGTACTGATATTTGTTCTATATAGTTTTAAAGCATGTATTACTTTTATAACATGAAAAAGTAAAGTTTTAATTGTCGATACAATGGTGATAAGTAATAGCTATGACTAGTAAATACCAAGTACAACAAAAAATAATGATAGTATATTTAATTCTCACACACCAAAAGAGCATCTCCATTAGGCAGATAAGCAAAATTAAGATCAAAAATGGCTAGTACAAAATGTCTCAGAATCCATATAGAAATACATAGATGATTAGACAGTCAAAATTCTATATTAAAAAATCAATTTTTAAAATTAGATCATGAGTATTTTCTTAGAGAACAAGAGTAGACAATTTTTTAAGATAGAGTTATATGGTTGAAATAATTTTTAAGACATAAAAAGCTTTCTACTTACAGGAAATGGCTCCAATCCTTCCTGAATCACAAACCCTTCAATAACATGGGTCAAGATCTGTGGTTTGACAATAGCCTGTGGAGGCTTGTTTTCTAGGCTGGGAGTGCTGGTGGCCATAGATGTGCTATTGCTCCTTGTGGCAGCAGCGGGAATTAAGAGTGGTGGTGGAGGAACAGAACCATGGGCAGGATCTGATGGTGACTTAATCACTGAAGCACTGACTGAGGCCACAGCAGGCAACTCCACTTGCTCTGAAAGAAAAGAAGTTATCTTTAGCCATCTTCCCTGCAGAGATGGAAGCTCACTCAGATATGCTATTTTCCAAGAACATTATGTTCACTGTCTCATTTAATCTGCACAATCCCATACACAGAACAAGCTAATATCCCCATTCTACAGACATACACTAACATGCTCAAAATAACCAGCTAAACAGTTTTCTATTATTCCCATAAAATTGAAAATGCCCTAAATATCATTAAGAGTAACTACAAAAATCAGTTGAGATTGTCTGCTTTTAAGCTATACAGATAATAAATACCTTACATTCCTTTTTATTCACATAATACAGATGGACAGATACTCATTTGAAAAATTAAAAAGGATCACAAACCCCAGAAAAGAAGTAGGAATTTCAGTGATTTAGTCAGGTCATAGACTGTAACTTCAAAGCAGGGAGAGCCTCCAAATCCTCTCAAAGGCACTTTGCTTTCTTTGAAGACTAGGGAAATGCTGGGGCACTTGGCAGGCCCACAGCAGGGTCAGCTGACAGTCTGATGGCTGGAAGAGTTACCTACTGCCCACCAGTAGCACCAGCCCTTGACTGTCAGTACTACAGTAGAGAGGAGAAGCAGCTCATATCTAGACATACTAGTAAGAACACATTTCTGAAGAAAACAGAAGGCATATATGAAAAGACACTCATTGAGCACTCAAGTGACCAGTGTCATGTTCAATGCTATCATTTAATCTACATGTAGCCTATGGGTGGTCAATGTTATCATCTCCATCTTACAAATATGGAAAACAAGACACAGATTAACGTGCTTGCCTTAATAGTACACAACAAACAGGCAATGAAATTGAGTCACTGTCCCAGATAGTAGGATGCTAGAGCACATGTTAACTCTTCACCATTGTATAAAAAGACTGACAACAGCCAAGTGGTTGTGTCACAACGCCTTTAATCCCAGCACTCAGGAGGTAGAGGCAGGAGGATTTCTGTGAGTTCAAGGACGGCCTAGTCTACAGAGCGAGTTCCAGGGCAGCCCTGCTGAGAAACTGTTTCAATAAACAAAACAAGAACTGATACCACCAGTAAATGATGCTAAAAAATATTTTTAAAAATATATATCTAACTTAGGTGGAAGAGAAGAAATAACAGGCTCCCTAAAGAACAGAAAACTCAACTGATAAAGCAACATAGAAGGGACTGGGTTATAAACCAGTGGAAATGCATGAGTGGCAAGCACAAGGATAAGAAAAGAAAAATGGAAACACAAATAGCTCACCCTTAGTAAGACCACTGTAATCAATGTCCTATAGATTTCACCACCACTATTAGAGTGATAATAAAATTACCTATCTTCAAAAAGGTAAATATGCAAACACCTGTTAATGCCATATAATTAGCCAGGCATGGTAGTACATGCCTTTAATCTCTACACTTAAGAAACAGAGGCAGGAAAAATCTCTGAGAGTTCCAGCCCAGTAAGGGCTATAGAGAGAAACCAAGTATCAAAAACCAACCAACCCCCATGCAAAAAATAAACCCAAAGCTACAGACTCTATTTAGCTAGGAAAGGAGAGCAAGATAAAGGGGGGGGGGATGGGGATGGAAAGAGAGGGGAAGGAGGGAGGAAAGGACAAGAAAAGAAAAGCATCCATAGAGTGGTAACTTTCTAATGTCTGTGAATATACGCACAACTGTCCACATATATCATTAAGCAGGAACACCATAGTACTTCTATGGAATAAAAGACAAAAAAAAAAAAAAAAAAAAAAAAAAAAATCTATGAGGAACTAAAATAAAACATTTTAAAATAGCCCTTACAGATTTAAAGACACTTTTTTACTCAATACATATAAAACTGCACACTATGGTTTAAGTGGACATTCCAAAATTCCTGTGTTTAGAAAGTAAGCCCTCAACAGAAGTGTTGAGAAGTAGAACTGTGTAGGATGCTCACGTTCCCTGTGATGCTTCTGCCACATAGCAGCTCAGCAGTAAGGTCCTTACCAGATACAGCACCTTCACCTTACAGTGCCCACACTGCAGAAACACAAGCCACTCTAGTTCTTTTTAGTATAAAGTCCTAAGTCTATTGTCTATTTGTTCTGAGATGGTTCCTGTTAGGTGGCCTAGGCTGGTTGCAAACTCCACATCTTCCTTCCTCAGTCTCCTGAGTGCTGATGCTACAAACATTCCACCACACCCAACCCAAGTCCACAAAAGGGACTAAAACATTCTATTAATTAGTTTTTCCAGAAAATACTGCTCAGTGATAATCTGAATTAACCTTTAGATCATATGTATAATAAAGTTCTCTCAGGTTGTTTTAAAAAACATCTGTAAGTTACTGCCTTTAAAAAAAAAAAAAAAACCTAAATCTATTATTTGCCATTTTTAAGAAGCTGTTAAAAAGCAAAAGCATGAACAACAATGGCAATTTACAACAAAACAAGAGCACTACTACTGTACTGTACTGTTTTATACTGTCCTCTAGGCAGCTCTATGACTTTAGACTAAGTTACTGAATCTATTTATAGATACACACTGGGTGGTGAATTTGTCCTATCTTTTTTACATGGAAAAGATTTTTACAGATTTATAAAAGTTGAATCACAGATGGAAACAAGTCTACTTTTTAGGATTTATTGTTATTTATATGTATTTGTGAATGTTTGCCTAGTATGTGCAGTGCCTGTGAAAGCCAGATGAGGGTATCAGATCCCGTGAAACTGCCATGTCCATTCTGGAACCCAAACTGATCTTCTGCAAGAGAAGTAAAGGTTTTTAACTACTGAACCATCTCTCTAGCCCCCCAAAAGTCTATTTTTGTAAGTTAGCTCCATAATTTGATAAGTTATTGTAAACATCATTTTCTTATTCCACACTCCACATAACACAGAGGAATGAAGTAGATTACAGGGAGACTGAAGTGTCTACACTGTAGCTGGCAGCTCCAGAAAAACAGGCTTGGAAGGGTCTCTGACAATACACAAGGGAAAAGCATAAAGACAAATCTATGTTCCAGCATTTCATCACTGGTATTATCAATGAGAGATGCACTTAATGTAATTAAAGCAGAACCACAATCAAGTTTATTATTCAAGTAAGCTGGTCTTTCTACTTTTGAATCAAAAGTACATTTGCAGCAACAAATGCTTTCAGAGAAAAGAAACTATATATATGGGCTGAAAATGTAGGTTAGTAGTAGAGCTTGCTATCATGCCTAAAACCCTGATTTTTATCCTCAGAACCACCCAAAAGTAAAAAAAAAAACAAACACAAAACCTCCTACCTTGTTTAAGGCAGGGTTTTCCTTGTCTCTCACGATGCCCTGTACAGGCTGCCTGGCTACCAAGCTCCCAAGCAATTCTCTGGCCTCCACCTCCCACCTCACTATAGGAATGTTATGACTACAGATGTGACGTTATGGCACCTAGCTTGCTGTATGGTTACAAGAATCTGAACTCAGGTCATCAGGCTTGCATGAAAAAGCACTTTTACCAAATGAGCCATTTCCCCCTTTTTTAGGAGAGGGAAGTGATAAGAAACATTGGATGTTGATTTTTAGACAAGGTCCATTTTGTGGTTTGCTGATACATATTAGCTAGCTGGCCCACAGGTTTCTGGACATTCCCTTCTCTCCGCCTGTCATCTAACTGTGGGAAGGAACACTGGGATTACAGGTGTATACCATTATGCTGGCTTTATGTGGACTCAGGGGATCTGAACTCAGGACCTCACACTTGAGCAGCAAGTACTTTACACACTATGCCATCTTCCCAGTCCTCAAATTCTAATTTTTAAGCTAGAAATAGCTAATACAGGAATGTGGGTAGCCACTAATGATCACAATGCTTGTAAAGTCATGTTTTTTGCTTGGGTGGTGCTAAATGTTTTATAAACCAGTAACTTTCCACTCCTATTAAAGGATTTCCCAAGGAAAAAAAAGTAAATTTTATTTATTCTTTAATAGCAACTATCAGTTGAGAGTACACTAGCAATACCTTGGACTGGTAAGATGGTTTATATAAAACAATACTCTTCATACATTCCTAAATTCTAAAGATAATCTAACTTTTGTTACAGTTAACGGAAATAAGTTAGTTTAATGCCATCTCTAATGAAAAAATTTCCTCTTACTGTCACCTATCAAAGGTGTGCTGAGGCAAAGGCAGGTGGATCTCTGTGAGTTCAAGTCCAGTCTGGTCTACAGAGTGAGTTCCAGGATAGCCAAGGATACACAGAGAAACCCTGTCTCAAAAAAAACAAAACAAAAAACAACAAAAAAGACTCTTCTTATATATTTTGTATTTCCTCACCTAACAAAGGATGCTCAGATGTCAAGTCCTCCCCTCGACCCACAGTTATAGCTGCTGGAGACAAGGTGGGTGGTGGTGGTGTCCTATCCATCCTTGCACACTCATCTGACTCCTCGGGCATTTCTTCCTCACACACATCTTCTACTTGATAAACCTGCAATGACAAGTCATACTGTCTTGAAATTTTTCCAAAACTACATTTTATGTGGTATTCTGAATTTTAAAAAAAAATTCATTCTAAATGTATTAAAATTAAAAGCAAGGCAAATGACTATACTGACAAGTTGAAAGGAAAACTTTGAAACTGCTCTTAAAAATTCTTCTACTACTTAGTAGTATGTCACTGAGAGTACGCTTTGGGCTAGTTATGTAAGCCAGGAATTACTGGGTTCTCCAAATGATAATGACCATATCTGGACATATTTTCAAGAATTAAAAAAAAAAGTTTTAGCTATATACAATCAAGTAACTATTTAAAAACACCATTTTTCTGTTAATTTCTACCCATCATGAATCAAAAGAGGTGCCAAAAAATTATATGCAATATTACTCATTAAACACATTTTATTCCTTTTCAATTCTTCTCAAAAATCTTATAAGCTAGTATGATATATACAGAAAACATCTTTCTTTAAAACCCAACATACAACCTAAGCTACATGGCTGTATCTCTGTTAGTTCCTTTTATCCAACTGTAGTAGTTTTACTGAAAGATTGTGACATCAAAATCACAGAGGAGAAATCATGTAACTATAGCTATATTATTCAACTAACATTTTTTGAAACTTTAGGATTAACTTTCAAAGTGTTTCTAGAAATTACGATGTACTTTGATTGGTTGCTATTTATGAAAGACAACGCTCTACTAACACCAAGCTGTAAGACAGCTCAGTTCCTTTCATGTGGCTTACATTTACAGAGAGTGAGGATTTAAGATTTTTTAATGAATTAACATTAAAATAAATCTTAATAGTAAAAAAAAAAAAATCCTGAACATTCACAAAGTTAATTTTAAGTGACACTCATTATTACATTTTTAGTTAAATTGTTGAAAATTTTTGATAATCTGAGTTGTCAAGAATTTAACATGAAAATAATCAAGATTCTTTTTAATCTGGAACAAACCATTTATGAGGATATGCATAACAAGTAGTACTGGTTTAAAAAAAAAAAACAGAAAAAAAAAAAAAAACTCTAAGCATCCACTTAGAATAAAATATCCATCCAGGAATGGTGACCCAACCCAGGAATTCTAGAACTTAGAAGGCTAAGACAAAATACTTAGTTCAAGGCTAGCCTGGATAAATAGCAAAAGCCCATCTACACACCAGCAAAAAAGGATTGAACATGCTTTTGCTTAAAAAATAAATTTTCTGAGAGTGGTAATGGTGCACACCTTTAGTTCCAGCAGGGAGGCAGAGGCAGGCAGATCTCTGTGAGTTCAAGGCCAGCCTGGTCTATAGAGTGAGTTCAGGACAACCAGGACTACACAGAGAAACTCTGTCTCAAAAAAGCAAACAAAAAAATCTAAAATCCCACTACAGTTATTTTATATTTAACTTGATATCTTGAATTATGATCCAAGTACTAAGTAGGCAACATTTTTTTAAATATATTTTTTCATATCCCAGAAACTAGAAACCTGTTTCCCCAAAAGCCTCCTGTCACAAGGGGAAGCGAGTCATTGTTACTGTGCGCTACACAGCTGACAGCCACTGGTCTGTTCATGGTAACAGACAGCCATGTTTGACATAAGGACAATACTCAGCATAGAACATATTTCTGCCCAAAATGCCTAGGAGCTAACAAAAAACAACCACAAATAAAATAAAATAAAATAAAATAAAGCTGTCTGGCAGGCACCTAAAGACTAGAAGGTGCAGTGTTAGTTGAGGAGAGTGGCAGGAGAGCTGGCTGAGGGCAGCATGCAGGCCTCTTGACCAGCTCAGCTTCATCTATGGTGTTCCCTCCCTCACAGACTGCTCCCCCCTCCAAAGAAGGCCATCTACTAATCCACTAACCCTCCGCCTCACTGCTGCCTCCTGCTGCTGCAACATCTGCTTACAGCATCTTTTAAGCAATCAGCTCCATCATGCACCGAATTCTGATTTTTGAAAACAATTTTTTTAAAAGGAAAAGGCTATAATACAAACAGCATTTTTTTTCAAATTTTCCATCAAAGAACTCTATAAAATACTTTTCTTTTTATGATGAGGTTAAGTACAGGGAGCTCTTCATAATCACCCACATAAAAGAAAACAAGTTAACTGGGAAATAAAGTAGGCAAAAGAAATTTCTCAGACATATCTGGCACAATCAGCACAACAAAACAAAACAAAACAAAAAACCATCTAAATACAACAAAATACTGAGAAAGGCGGTAATTGGAGATTTTGCTCACAAGATCATTACAAAACTGCACAAGTTCTATTTAGCTCATAACTATAACTATTCTAAAAATAATGAAGACCACCAAACTTACCTCAGTAAAGTCCATATTCCCATCTGTCTCCCTTTCCTAAATAAACTGAGGAACATTTGTTTATTAGTTCTAAATCATCTATCCTCAACATATCTTATTTACACCCAAATCTCAATTTTTTAAAAAAGAAAAACTATTTCTTTTACAGAAATATCTTTTTGAAAACATACTGATTTAGTTTGATAATTCACCTTTTTCTTTCAAATTTTTACATTTTATTACAAAGAAATATATCTACATTTAAGTATTTGAAATAATCAAGAGTGGAAAAGGTGTTTTTATGGAAAAAATTCTGGTCACAACAACAACAAATCAGTAACTTAGTAAATAGCTGCTGTGAAAAGGATCCAAAGAACACTGGGATCCAGACAGCAGGCCCTGTTGTCAAACAGTAACAGAGGCACCTTCCAGAAATGACAATGGCCTTATGTTTAAAAAATAGAGGGCAAAATCAGCAAAACAAATCCAATGATATTTTTGACACAGTATTTAAAGTGTTTTATTTTTGGTATTTCTACCCTAATTATGTTGACCCAAAGTCCTCTTATTAAAAAATACATTTAAAAGGTATATGGAATTTTAGTGTTTACTCATTGAAAACCAGTCACTGAATTAAATGTTAAGAAAATGAAATTAAGTTGAGTTTGATTTCTTTGAAAGGTCTTTATTTTTCCTAAACCTTTGTTTTTCATCTTTTGTTTTGGCAGTAACTGGGAACTGCATCAGAGCCTGGCATATGCTAAATAGTTGCTTTACCACTGAACTATATCCTTGGTGAAAACCCTGTTGTAAGTGCATAATTAGAAGACAAGTTTATCTAGCACTGGTTTCCCCTGGGTCCTGGCTTCCCGGGCAATAACAGGTAAAACTGAGCTGCTCCATGCCTATTAAGATCTCTTAAAAGGACAGAACAACAAACTACAAAATCGAGTTTTAAGAGTCAAATGTTTCTACTAATAAAGACAGCAAAACTCCTTTCCTTATAAGATCAATGTTAACTGATATGTAAATATTTCAATTTATAAAATATTCTGTGGGGACTCTCAAGCCAAGGTTGCTCCTGAATTCACTAGACAGGTTCAGGATGGCCAAACTCTTGATTCTCCTGCCCCAGCTTCCCAAGAACTGGTCTGACTTTCAGTGATTTTCAAAGTTTGATACAAAACTTCCTTTTCCTCAGTAAGAAACTGAATCTGCTAAACTCATAAAAAAAACCCTTATTTTTACATAAACCATTTTATAAATTTCAATAGCCACTTCAGAGAAAATGTTGAAAAAGGAAAATATTTTCAAGATAACTTTCCCTTTTAGGCTTTCATGTGATCTTTTCTAGAAGTTCATTTTGATACATTCTATTGAAATCCCAATTATTCAAAATTCTTACTTCATTTCTGTTACTCTCAGTGCCAAAGCCAGAGACTCACAGTTTTGAGCCTTTTAACTGAGAAATGACTTAAGTATATATTTTCTCTTCATAGATAGAAATTTTAAAAAGTCAGTTGTTTTTGCCAAGTTGAATTCTACCCTAGAATAAATGTTTTTACAATATTAATTACAAAACATAATTTCATCAAAAATAGTTACATCATACAATCATACCTGTTCCTTCAAAGAAAAGCTGCCCAAGACTTCCAAATGCAGACAACTAAAAGGTTAGCTAGATAAACCATGCGCTTAAGAACATACAGAAGGGATCTATGAAGGATAATCACCTTAAGAGAAAAAACTTTGTGCAGATGACACTGGTTCAAATGCATTCCCTTGGGGAAAAAAAATCAACTCTGTAAAGATAGCAGATGGATTTGTTTAAATAGTAATAAAATTAACGAGGGACTTTAATAACCATCACAAATTTAAAGCATGCAACCATACTACAACAAATGACATTTTTTTTCCTTTGCCCATACAATACATTGTCAGAATACTGACACAGGAAAATTGCAAGCTTAAAAAATCATAGGCATTTAGACTTCACAGTACAGCATAGTTGTGGGAGAACCAGCTTTACGTTCAGTTCAGCAAGAAAGTCAAAGAGCTGCCAAGGGCTTACCACTGGTGGATCAACAGGTGCTGCTGGTTGTACTTGGAGATTTACCGCAACAGTCTGTGGAGGAGGAAGAGTCTGAAATGGCAACTGGACCAGAGCTTCTGCAGCAGGGAGCTCTTCTTCTGACACCAATGCATTCTGCACCAAAACCTGGCCCTGGGATAGAATTTCAGGCTGCACTTGTAAAGACTGCATAGACTGCAAGGGCAGTGGTGGGATCTGAGCTGGAGGAGATGTCGACATCTGTGGAGGGGTTGCAATTGGAATTGGAGATGACTGCAGGGTTGAATATTGCTGGTGTGATGTTGGAGACACAATCTGCTGAGCAGGGGACACCAAGGCAGACTGCTGGACTGGGCCAATGTGTACAACAGGGGATGCTGGAAGTGGAAGATGGGATGGAAGATTCAGCTGTGTTGTGGGTTGTACCTGATCAGCAGTAGCCTGCTGCAAACTTGGCCCTGTTTGAAGAGCTGAAGACACAAGAGGATGTGGCTGTATAAGTGCTTGCGGATGGATAATTATAGTAGGAGACTGACTTGGGGAATGAGAAGGAGGAGGAGACACCACTACAGACTGCTGTGCTGATTGTGCCTGATTGGGAGACACAGTTAAAGGAGGGGGATGGCTCTGAATTGGTGAGCAATGCTGTGACTGGACATTACTGGGAGCAGGAGATAATCCATGGTTTGGGAGTGGGATACAGTGCTGGGATGGGGGCGGATCTTGAGTTGGACTCTGAAGGGTGATTGGCTGAATTTGCTGTTGTTGCTGTTGTAAAATCAGCTGATGATGGGAAACCTTAGGAGGTGGTGAATGAAGAGGAATCTGTTGATGTTTGATTAGAGAATGAGGTTGAATTGGAGAATATGAAGCTGTGAGAGAAAAAAATGACAATTAGTACTGATTTCAAAACGAAATAGTTTTACATAAATCTAAAAGAGGAGAGTTTTCACATTAGAGAGTCATAGTCACTAGCAGTCTATTACAAGTATTTTAAACATGAGTAATTTGACATTCTATGGCAACATATTTTCCTTGAGTGGCTAAAAACACTGGATAAAATAAGCTATGCTATGAAACACTGAAGGAAAACAATCTAGTCACATATGTACAACTTTATACATTCTACTCTTCCAGATCACATATGTGCAGTTTCATTAACTTAGTTCTTAGGTCTATACACTTGAGTCTGTCTCTTCTCTGAAGGAGAAATATCAGTACTCAACAGTATAGTATACAGGGGTGACTTCAAGATCAAGACCTATCTATGACAAAACATGTCTGTTACTAATAGCAAAATCAATTGGCTAAAAAGCTTCCTAAGTGAACATTTCAGCTTGGATGAAGTCTTTATTATTTGATCAGAATGAAATTGTCCCACATAAAACTTCAATTCAACTAACGAAAATACATGGCTGAATCTTGTAGCATAGGGGCCATTCCAAATCAAAGTGAAAAGCTTTTCCTTGCAGAGAATGAAGGAATAAGATCATGATACCTAAATAAGGGATGGTGTTTATCCCTTTCCACTCAATGGAAATCCCAGAGTGAGTTGTAAGTAGTGGTATCTGTCAGATCTCCTCCACAGGTGCTCACAACTGGGATGAATCTAGTTAAGGATCACCCTAAGTTGTAAATGGTTCTCACCATGATACCTCTTTACAGGGAGATAGGCTGATGAAATCCTCCCTACCTAGAACTGAAAAATGAGTACACTGGAAGATGACCTGAAACAACTGCTTAATACCACACAGAACTTACACACATCTTTAATCCTAGCACATGGAAGGAAAAGGTATGGTGGATCACTGAGTTAGAGGCAAGCCTGATCTGCATTTATAGCAAGTTCCAGGCCACCCAGGACCATAAGGAGACCCTGTCTCAAAGTCTCCACCCCCCAAAAAACAGATATCTAAATCAAATCTAAAGACAGAATTTATCTTGCAATGTAAATATGAAAGTTACATGGCATTTTATATCTTTTTATATTCAACCACAGCTATGGCAATAAACTTCTAATAATTTTTTCTTAAATATTTTTGCATCTGATTATAATTTAAATTTTAGGGGTCAAGCTGAAGAGACCTTCCAGCAGTTAGGAGCACTGGTTGTTCTTTCAGGACCTGAATTTGATTCCCAGTACCCAAATGGCACCTCATAACCTCTGTAACTCCAGACCCAGGGGATCTGATACCCTCTTTGGGCTTCCTCAGACACCTGCTACACATGTGATATACATATATGTGCAGGCAAAAATCATACATATAAAATGATGTTTAAAAATTATAGAGATCCTTTAACGAAATTAACATCTGTCAGGTGGTGTTGACACCTGTAATGCCAGAACTCAGGAGGCAGAGGCAGGTAGATCTCTGAGTTCAAGGCCAGCCTGATCTACAGAGCTGTAGCTACACAAAGAAACCCTGGGAAGGAAGGAAGGAAGGAAGGAAGGAAGGAAGGAAGGAAGGAAAAGGAAAGGAAATAACATCTAGTTAGTATCTCAAAGAGTATTTAGAAATTTCATTAGATATCCACTAATTATTCTTAAATGAAGGGCTGTGGTTACAGCTCAGAGTTAGAACACATGCATGTGGCATGAGCTCAAACACAGCACTGAAGGAAAATGAGGTCTAAAATCTAAGGTAAAAATAATTTTTCACATAAGCTAATAATTCAACTAAAGACTGTTGGCCCTCTACAAATGTAGCTACAAATGTAGTGTTCAGAAGAGAACAGTTAATAAATCTTCTACAAAAGTGCTGATAGCTATGTTATACAAATAAATCCTGTGGTTCTATGTAAAGTGCTTTCAGGTCTCTCATTAGCACTTGGATAACAGCTGTGGAGTAACTGGCTGTTATTCTTCCAGATAAGGAAACAGAACGTTTTGCCTACATTTAAAAAAAGAATGTTATAATTTAATTTTATCATCTTTTTCAAATACTTTTTATCTTTAATTATGTGTCTATGTATGGGTGTATGCATGAGTGTGTGTCCCTAAGGTCTAAAGAGGGCACCAAGATTTCCTTGAGCTGGGAGTTACAGATGGTTGTGGACCATCCAACAAGAGTCCTGGGAACAGATCTCCAGTCCTTGCAAGAATAACCACTCTTAACTTCTGTCTTCTTTCCAGCCCCACATGTCCTGAACATGGGTGCTATACCCACTAGAATAACTTTGTACTCGCAAGGGTAAATAATCTGACATTTCAGTAGAGTAACAGTCTATTCTTCATCTAAATTAAATTCTTCTTAGATAAAAAGTCAAAGTGTAATAACAAGTCCAAGAATGCAGGACGAGGACTATGAGCAAGAAAAGATGACAATTGTCTACAAAATTATGTCCTACTGGTTAATTTCTCTGACTTTAATGAATACTTTATTACTGTCAGAGTGGCCTAATAATTGAAGGTCAATGACATCATTTCTCTCATTATTTATAATAACATATCATTTCATCAATCATTACTGCAACCCCATGAAGTAGACATGGTACTAAACTAATGCAATATGATTAATTAATTGAAATCACCTACTGAAGAGCAGCACTAAGTCTAAATGAGCCCCAAATCCTGAGTTGAGGGCTCTGTTATAAACTATTTGTGCCTTTTCCCCAAAATACACCATGTTGAAACCATACACCATAAAGTGGCTATATGTAGAGATGGAGAGCCTAGGAAATTAAGGTGACCGTAGGATCCTGGGAGTGAGGCCCTGAAATGGCAGATTTGTATACGAATAAAGAGATAGCAGGGCTGGTGAGATAGCTCAACAGGTAAAGTCTCTTGCTGACAAGCCTGATAACTGAGCTTGATTCCTGGAATTACTGTGTAGAAGGAAAAAACCAACTCCTACAAGTTGTCCTCTGACCTCAACATGGACTCTGTGAAATGCTCATGCCCCCTGCCCTACCCCTACACACAAAACTAAGTCCCCCCCACCCAAAACAATGTTTTTAAAGAAGTTATCAGAGAGCTTTCCTCCCTCATAGGAAATGTCCATCTGAGAACACAGAGAAAGTGGCAAATGACTAGGCAAAAGACAGTCCTCATCAGAAACTGGGAACGGCCAGACCTGAGACTTCCAAGGTATGTATGACATTTCTTGGTGGCAGCTAAAACAGACCAGTAGGAGATTTTTTCATTACATGTTGAATTAATTTCTAAAGAAGAAGAAGAAGAAGAAGAAAAAAAAAAAAAAACCAAAGCCCTCTAAAAATGCTTTAAAAACATCTTCCATGATTTCCAGATATGTAATTAAAGGTAAACTTTCACCTTTATGTATTAAACACTGAATTACCAGTCAGGAATGACAGGAGTCTGAGTCAGGAGAGCTGTCATGAGTTAAAGACTAGCCTAGGCTACTATCTTCTAAATAAATAAATAGAACTGCTAACAAATGAAAGCTTCCACCTTCAAGAGGAAAGAGTATAGAAAATCAGGTTATTTTTAGACCCTAAAACAACATGCAAGAAGCCAGGCAGTGGTGGCTCACGCCTTTAATCCCAGCACTTGGGAGGCAGAGGCAGGCAGATCTCTGTAAAGTTTGAGACCAGCCTGGTCACAAGAGTTAGTTCCAGGACAGGCTCCAAGGCTACATAGGGAAACCCTGTCTTGAAAAACCAAGGGGAAAAAAAAATTACATACAAGAAAACAGCAACCATTAGGCAACGACATTAGAATACAATAGAGGGTCAGGGGTTTTTTTCTCAATTTCAAATGACTGTTGGCACAGTTCCAGCAAAGGAAAAAAGTAAGATGACAGGTCTCACTAGCTACTGTGCCATGACCAGTCACCTCAGGTATAGTAGGTATGTTGTTTCACACTGACTCTAAGAACCCTGGTTAGGTGCTACTGTGAGGCTGAGAATACTCTGGCAATGCTGTTCAAAAACACAGTTATCTGGCCTACAGACTAGGTCATAGATATTTATAATGTATAATTTAAAAAAAAGAACAAACCATATCTAACTATAGCATCAAAGGACTTACTATCAAAGTTTATAGCACTTCTCTAAGATTCATTCATAACAATCCTAAGCACTATGGTAGCTAAATAATGAAAATGGGAAAGACTGATAAAGACTGATAATTTCCATAGTATAAGTGTGGAAAACTGGATGATTGGTCCAAATATATACCAGCCTACCTATTACAGTCAAATGAACATATGGTACAACTTAGTGCTGTTAAGATGAAAAGGTGAATCTGAAAAAAGATTAAAAGTTATAATAAAGTAGAGTGCTAAAAAACAGTGCCTATCACAGACAGAAATGTTCATCTCTACAGGAGCACCTGCAAGATGCTTGCTATCTAGTGAAGAGGCTTGAATTCAGGAAGCATAGAGACAGTACTGTGACAGAAGTTCTGAGGAAAGAGACATTTCAATTTCGAGGAATCAGACAATGCCAAGATTTTGAGGTCCTGTGAAGCAAAGAACATTGACAATCCTAACACAGAAGTAGTTAAAGGGCTGTTACCATGTTAGAACACTTGTGTGGCCTATGTATGAGGCTCTAGATTTAATTCTGAGTACCTAATGCACAGAGAAATCAGTCTAGGTGAACAAGTAGATTTCAATAGTATAGAACAAGACAAGACAGGAAGCTCACTCTGGAAGGCCCCAACATTTTCAGTTTAGGAAACATGACACAGGGTTACCCAAAGAAAAGAGATCCTCATGGCTTCATAAGAATGGAAAGAACTTGACAACTCTCCCCTAGATGAAAGCCCACACTGGTAGTGATGGATGCAGGGTTAGAAAAATAATTTCCTTATTTACCCAATCTTTTGTTTTGAAAAAGTAACAAATTCTTCCCACTAATGACTTAAACAAAATGCACTTACTTTTTTACTAACTGCTCAAAAATGTTTCACTAAAACATACTAAATAAACTAAGATAATTCTTTTTTAAAAGCTAAAATATTTTATTAGCATAAATAGACCAGCACATCATAGAGATATTAAGTGCCAAGTAACAACAAAAAAAGACCATCTATTTTGCTGTTATAATTGGTTTCAACTACTAAATTTTCTGAATTCTTTTCAAGCTACTTAGTGAGGTCTTCTTTAGCTAACAAGAATTCTCATTTTAAAATGTCTTAAAATTGTCATTCTTATTCAAGTAGCATATACCTTTTGTTTTGCTGTCAGCTAAGAAAACAAGACAACTATTTTCTATGAACATTTCTCCCACCTGGTGCTATTAACTGGTGAATGCTTGATGTCCGAGTGACTGCTGTGCTTCGAGATTCCAAACTTGGGCTTCCTCCCTTCTTGCTCTCTGGAGAAGGATCTCGTTGGCTGATTTTAGAACTGGTCACTGTTGTTTTATTATGGCAAATTGTCAAAGACTGGGTTTGACCAGTGCTTTTTGGTGGGCCATTCTGTGAGCTAGATAAGACACCCAACTTCTGGCTGCGTAATGTTAAATTCTGAACCTAAGAACCACATAACAAAAAGTAAAGATGAAAACAGATGGCTTTAGCTGATACAACAATCATCACAACAATGACAGCAGTTAATACTGTGCCTCCTACACAAAGAGGTCCACACTCCTGAGACTACAGATTAATTATTAAACAAAGGTCACTCTATATAAGCACATCTTAAAATACTATGTGGTGGCTGGAAAGGACAGAAAGGGTGGATATGGGACAGTTGTGAGTGAAGAAGAGCAAGAGGATGGGAAGAACACGAAGAACTAAATGAAAACCAAATGAATACTACGGGGTGAGGGCTGATGGAAATGAACTATAAATATGAGGAACTGGTTCTGCCACACACTGCATTAACAGTGATCAACTCTAAATGTGTTAGAGGGTTTCTACAAGACAACTGATTCTTCTAGTCATCTACTCCAGTGTCGTGCTTATGAGAAGCTTCTTAAATTGAAACTGTGTTACTGACCATTCAATGACTTTGAAAACTTGTTTTTTTGAGCTGACACATTATGCATAACTCTGAAATGGGTCTGTCTATGTGGTGTCCTGCTTAAACTGGAGCCATTCTGAACACTGTAAACTGACAGAATTATCTGACTTCATCTCACTTGAGCTATGCCTTTCTAAATAGCAAAGCAGAAAATGTGCCACCAAAAGCTGCATAGTTTCTTGCCTATTTGGAGCGTGCAGCAAACACATTTAGTGCTAGCAATGATCCTGGGAGGTCAAAGGAGGCTCCACCTCGACAAAGCTATGACATGCTGCTGAGGTCTAACTTCTTCAGTTTCAGCATGCTGACTCTACATACCTTAGCTGGTGCTCAAGGCCATATTCCTGGTCCAAATGCCCAAACAGTGGTAACAGAAGGTAAATAAATGGTTGTGTCAGGCAAGTTTCGATTAATCCTATAGCTACTGTTAATGTGTGGAAATGAAGTACCTCCCCATTCCACCCCCCCAAAAAAAACACATGTACCGAAGGCTTGCTCCCAGCACAAGCAGTGCTCAGAAGTGGATGAGGACTCTGCCTTCATCAATAGTTTCATTAGCAAACTTAAAATATAAATAACTTAAAATATAAATAAACTATTAGGAGGTGGTGGATCTATAGAAGAGGGGAGTAGCTGAAGAAAGTTGATCACTAAGGGCATATCTTTGAGGCAGATTTGGGGCTACAGTCCCTGTCATGATGCTCTGCTTCTATGCCCCAAGAAAACAACAGCATTTGCCCAATATGAACCAAAACCATTGGTCAAAATAAATTTCCCTCTTTTTAAATTGTTTCTCCTAGGTTATTTATCACAGCAACAGAAACTGACTAATACAACCCCTGGAAAAACCTTCTCAGAGAGACCACATAGAGCATCTTCTCTGATTTTCCTTGAATATTTCCTATTGTATGTCAAAATATACTAAATATTATTAGTATTAAAGTTTTATACAAAAAGTAAAATGTAGTGTATTCCTTGGGTTGCCACTCAAAGCCCACAGTGTAGGCCCAACCCACATTGAACCCACTTTCTCTTCTCTAGTCTACAGTTCTTATATAGCTGCCAAACTGCTCTCACTGTTCATTTGGTGCCCTTTGTTCTGACTCTATTTACCTAAGTATCATTCTTCCTCAAGCCATTATTCTAAGTCCAATAACCCCTTTCCTCTCTCAGAAGAACTTCCCAGAGTACTCTGTGAGGAACTTTCTCCTGTCCCTCCAGGATACTTCCTTGGAATGTGAGATTGGCCTACAACACAATGTCTAGCTTGTCTGTGCATTACTAACATACGCATCTATGAAATGGTGAGAGGAGATGCTAGCTAATAGGCTGGAGGCTTCAGCCTTGAGTTTGCACCCCTAACAATTCAGAACTATAGACACTGGAAATCCTGAGTCTGGAATGTCTCTTACATCTGATTTTGAAAGGCTATTTGGTTCCACTTATAGCTCTTATGCTAACACTAAAATCTGTTCATATTTTCTAACAAACTTCAAGTATCTTGGTGGAGGCACATTAAAATATCTCAGAAAGGACAGGGATGTAACTAGGTGGGAGGGCATCTGCCTAGTATGTACAAGGTCCTGGGTTCCATATCTGGTATGACAAGAGAAAAAAAAAAAAAAAAAAAAACTATTTTCAGGTATAGAGGCACAGACCTAATATAACAGCACAAGGAGACAGAAGCAGGAGGATCACAAACAGACTAAGATGTAGTCTTGGCCACACAGCAAGATCTAAGTCTAAAAATAGTAAGTAAATTAACAATAAACTCTCCCAGGAAAAGCTACATAAGAGAGAATATAACATTTTCCACAAACAACCCATACAGTAGACCATATTATAATGACAACCAAGAACAAATAACCTGAAAAACTTGAATGACTCCTTCAGGGTGAAAAGCATCCGAACAGACTAAAGATTTGACACAATGAACCCTAACACCTGCACCACACCTGTTCCTATAATGTGCCTGCTGCTTTCTGGAGCCCTGAAAGACAATGCACAGGCCTCCATAGTTAAATATGATGCTGTGTTCTATATGAGCTTGTAGACTTTAGCTACTCTGCTGTCATCTTTGCTCAAATACCAACTTGAAGCAATAAATTACAATGTAGAAACTATAGCCTAAAGGTAATACTTACTATTGGAAAGACCACATATTAAGATTCCCAGGGTAGTTTCATTTTGGAAGAAAATCCTATAATGAGGAATAATGGGCATCCTAGCTTTAATTTTCATTTTCCTTGAAACAAGCCTATGATTTTATAAAAACTTTGACATCATGCATGAGGCTTTTTTGCTAAATTCATTCTAACATTTTCTGATATATAAAGAATATGTCACTACCAAAATATTCTCAGAATCATTTAACAGGACGCAGCACCCTCTCTTTGCAGAAGGGGTATCAGTGTTGTGCTGGCCACAGCAGAGATTTAGTTCCCAGCTTTTTAATGCAAAAATCTGATTTCTCTTCAAACCAGCATTCCCTAGAGTACCCTTTGGTAAGTAGAGTTTCGTCCTCTTCTACAAACACCCTTCTTTTGCCAGACATGGTGGCACACAGCTTTAATCCCAGCACTCTGGAGGCAGAAGCAGATGGATCTCTGTGAGTATGAGGTCAGCCTAATCTATACGTAGTCCTCCAGGTCAGACAATGACACTGTCTAAAAAAAAATAGCTCTTACTGAGTAAAAATTAACTGATATACTGGCTTTTTTAGATTAAATTAGAACATTAAACTACAAATCCAATACTCTCAATTTAAAAAAAAAATACAATTTTTAAACTACAGAGAAAATTAAAAAAGGACTTGGGAGGCAGAGGCAGCATATGTCTGAGTTTGAGGCCAGCCTGATCTACAGAGTGAGTTGCAGGACAGCCAGGGCTACACAGAGAAACCCTGTCTTGAATAACAAACCAAAACAAATTTCAAAACCAACAGTCCTGGGCCCAAAGTTGTATCTTTGTTGATCAACATCATCTACCACTGCCAGCCTTATTCAAAAGCAGTGTTCTCAGAGAGATCCTTCCTGAAAGCCTTAACCAAGTCAGACTGGCACAGCCACAGATCACAGACAGGTCACATCCAACAGTACCAGAAGACCACTTTCACAAACTACATTAACTGCATTAAAGACTCATAAGAATGTTTTCGTCATGAGAAATAGTAAGCAAATTGAGCTCCAGATCATATTAAAGAAAAATATTATCTCCTAAGCAACTGGTTTATCATGAAAACTATCAATTATTTAAATGGTTATTTATTATCTCTTCATTTCTAGCTTTTGAAAGCAAAGAACCAAATGTGTGATTTGGTTCTTTGTCAAAGACAGCAAGCAGGAGATATGATATCTCATTACATGGCAGCACTGTGCTAAATAACTTCTGATTGCCTCATTTTCCCCTTGTAACAACTGAGGTATCATTTCCAAGATAGTAAAGAAATCAGAATTTAGCAGGGATAATCTTGAATTAGCATTTAGTGACTGCTACCTAACAGACTCTGATAAGGAACTACAAAGGGCCAGGGAGCAAGTTAGGAAAACTCTGAGTTTACCTGACCAAAATCTTTATAACTAATATATAAAAATTAGTCTTTATTATTAACTATATCAAATCATAGAGGTTCTGTGAAAAAAAAAATCAAAGAATGTTATTACTATCTCACTTTTTATTCCTTCCTTCCTTTTGGATTTTTGAGATGAAGTGCCTCTGTGTAGCCCTGGCTGTCCTGGAACTCACTTTGTAGACCAGGCTGGCCTCAAATTCACAGAGGTCCACCTGCCTCTGCCTCCTGAGTGCTGGGATTAAAGGTGTGTGTCACCACAACCAGCTACTATCTCATTTCTTATATTTACCAGAAAGCTGAAATATGAAACAAAATAAAATGCACCAGGCATGGTGACTCATACTTGTAATCCCAGCCCTGAAGAAGTTGAGACAAGAATACTGTCTCAAGCTCAAGCCCTGAGGCAAACATCAAGTACCAGGCAATCCAAGGCTACTAGTAAAATGCTATCTCAAAAAAGATGAAAGCCCAGTGAATGCCTTTAATCCCAGCACTTAAGAGGCAGAAGCAGGTGGACCTCTGTGAGTTCAAGGCCAGCCTGGTCTACAGAACAAGTTTCAGAACAGACTCCAAAACTACTGTCTCAGGAACTCTGTCTCAGGAAAAGGAAAAAAAAAAAATGAACAAGAGATATTTAAGACAATGACCCAATATATGAATGTCTGTCATGATGTCCAAAACATTTACTATAAAAAACAACAAAATAGCATCGCATAAAGTAATAGTCTAGTCAATTATTTTAACTTAAAGTTTACTCAATCTAAATGATTTTTATGAAATTTACTGAAGTAATACAGTAAGATGCAACTCTCCCATAAGTTTTGACATTAGGTATATATCATATAACCACCATCCCAACCAATACACTAAACATCCCTCCTAGTCAATTTTTTTCTACCTCTGTTAACCTAATTTTTTTACTATGGAGAGTTTTCCCTATCTTAGAATTGAAAAACTACAGAATCACAGAGGCTGTACTCATTGTCTAGCTTCATTTGCTAGTCATGTTTATGAGATATATTGGTGATTTGCTCTTTTCACTTTTGAGTACTAACAATTCCACTGTATGAACATGACACCATCTGTTTATATAGTCATCATTTAAAGAATATTTAGCTATTATAAACTATTGGATAGTGTCAGTCTTCATGTAGTTAGCCACCCAGATAATCATTTGATGATGCTCATTATGTTTCTGACCTGCACATCTGTGATGATCTATGATGTTGAACATTTTATCATGTGCTCATTGGACTTTTGTATATTTTCTTTTTGTTTGTTTATTTGTTCAGATAGAGTCTCACCATGTACTTCTGGCTGTCATGAAACTCACTATGTAGACCAGGTGGACCACAAACTCAGCTACATTTGCCTCTGCCTCCTAAGTGCTTGGATTAAGGCTTATATCATCACACCTGCCCTATATAGTGTCTTTTGTGAACTATCTCTTCAAATATTTTTTCCATTTGTAACTGACCTTATGATCCAATTATTAACCTATAGTAATGTTTTTTATAATCTAGATACAATCTTTGGTCAGATACATATATTGAGAATAGTTATCCTCAGCCTGTAGCCTAGATACTCATTTTGTAATGATTTTTTAAAGAAAAATTTTGAGTTTTGTTAAGTCCAATGTATCACTAGTTTCGTTTCTAGTCAATCTTTTTTGTGCCCTAAGAAGCCTCACCCACCCTAGACTTGCAAAGAATATGTCCTGTTTTCTCCTGGAAGGCTAATTTTTTTTATTTTTACCATTAAGCCTACATTCTACTTTTATTTAATTTTTGTGAATAAGAGAGAAGTTAAGATTCATTTTTTCCCAAAGAACCAAAAAAAGTAACACTCTACTTAAGCTTTTAACTTCAAGTTGCCTGATTTAATCCATTTTTAAACTTAAAATTACCATCTACTTTGACTTATCTGTTATGTAACTGCTTCCAAAGGCAATCCACAAAAAGAATATAACTCATATTAAAAAAAAAAATATGGCACACAATAGAAATAAAACTACAGTGTCATTATCAGAACTTTCATTAACTTAATGGATGCACATCTACTAATCTGAATCTGTTTAATTATATTTCTCATTTCTATAAGCAAGCATGCTCTTGAAGTTCCCAGGATTCTATGAACTTCACCTGAAAGGCATGGCAATGAGCTCTGAGCAGAGGAGCTGAAACATGAATGCAGTGACCATCTTTCTACTGAGACCCAGACCTCCAGAACCACACTGTGATAGACAATCTCACCTGAGCAGCTGCAGACTGACAGGAAGGTGACGATGACGACGAGACAACAGGAATGTCAGACTGCACAGCAGCCACAGTGGTAGCGGGTGTGAAAATCAGCTGTACAGACAGAAAACCAAAAATAATACCCTAAGACTAAAGAACATGTCCCACACACAGTGTGTAGCAAGCAGGCAAGAGACTGAACTTTGTGACAGAGAGACGATGCCAGTTAGGACTATCTCCTAAGCAAAAGGCTTCACACGACAACAAAGTTGTGATCACAGAGCTCAAAGTCATCAACAGCTTTGAAATATCTCACAAAGAAAAGATTGTACTTTGGTGAGATGAGATCCTCAAATCAAATTTTGTCCCAAATAAAAGCTACTATCTCAGGGTTCCTAAGATGGAAAGTGAAAATAAAACTGTTAGGATATAGATTAATTTTTGTTAAGAAACAGGAAAAGAAACACCAAAACATCTCTTCAGTCCACACAGTAACAGTACACATACTACACTACGATCTTCCTCAGCTACAAGGGACCAGGCGTAGGACAAAGTAAGGTTGCTCTTGATGTTAACCCTGTTTGTAAAGGACTATTTATCCTAAATGTAAATGCTAGAATGTTAAAACAGAGCAACCAAAGGCCTTCACACCAAAACAACAAAAGAGATAAACAACCTGTACATCACCATCTTGTTTCAAACTTTTAATATTAACAAGTACTGCTAATTTCTAAGACAATCCAATCTACTCAGTCTTACTGGGTTAAGTAAATAATGATAGGTTTTAGAGTGTGTAGATATACTATTTTAAAGTCATTTCAAGCAGCGCTCGCTACCTTCCTGATATTTAAAGTAAAATGATCAATTAGGGAACTTTTCTGATCTTGAACCTTTACTAACATGTATTAAATATACAATACTGGGTTTCACTGTGATTTTCATGCATGCACATACAATAGTGATCATTTTCACCCGTCCCCTGCTCCTACTTACCAACACCCCCACCAGCCCCCACACCTTTCCTGAGCCCTTTCTTTTCCTCTAGACTTTTACATTTCAATTCTTCACCCAATTTCTGAATTTAAGTAAATTCACCAACAAATTTTCTTATTTTTGATGCATGCAGTCTAAAAGCACTCCACCCAAAAAGGAAAATATTATTTGAGCCATATGAATTGCCCATTTTAAAAGTCAAAAATCATCAAAAAAAAATAGAACAGAACAAAAAATATTTCAAATGGTTTAAATCATATTAAAGACAATTTCATGGGAGAAAAGTAATCCAAAAGAAAGAGGTAATGTTTATTCTACAATTTGCAAATAAATGTTGTGTCACATCATCACTCCTGCCAGAAATATGACTGAAAACTTTCCAATTTTAAATGAAGTAGGGATCAGATACATATTCAGTTCATTTTTCAAAAATCTGCATATTAAGGAGGCTAAAGATGTTGAATATTGATAGGATATTGTCTACTATTCATGAGTCCCTAGTTTCAATCTCTGGCACTGCAAAATTAACTAATACACACACACACACACACACACACACACACACACGTTGTGTGTGTGTGTGTGTGTGTGTGTATATCTCAAAACATTTGCCTAACTGTACAAAATTATGTCAGCCAATGTCTAAATGTCTTAAAAAAGTCCATCAATTAAATCAGGAAAACAGTAGGTACCTAATTATAGAATTATCAATTAATATTACTATTATAATAAAAAAAGATGAAGTACACCTAATAATGCAATAGAATTTGAGACAGTAATAACCAAAGTTATGAATTATCTGAAAAACTATCAGAACTCCAATCCAGATTTCAGAAGATCCTTGGACATAAATCATCAATGTCAACAGAAAAAAATGATTTATATAGCACTGCAAGTACTAAAACTGTAAAATGCCATCAGTTATAAAAAGCTCTGCAATTTTAGAGATGTCAAAATATGAAAAAACAGGTTTTAAAATCAGTAACAGTATTAAAAAATATTGTTACCAAGAAGGCTTCTGAATTCAAGGTGGAATTATTATGCATATTTGTAAGTGTTCAAATGCTGAGCACATACATGCACATGCTCTCACTTGTTAAATACTACTTAAGTATTAAAAATGCCTATTGCATTAAACCCAGAAACATTTGAACTCCCCAGTTCTTAGACACTGAAAAGCTGATATCTTGTGTCTTACCATCTGAGCTCGGAGATACATTTGAGCTTGACTAGCTGTTAAGGTCGGGGAGGTACTGCCTAGTAACATCGTCTGTTGGGTAATACTGCCGCTAGTAGAACTGGAGCCCTGGGAGCGATTCATCAACTGAGCAGGTGTAGGAGAAGTGGAGAGGTTGATCTAAGGAAGAAAATGTAACAGGTTATGCTTCCATATCTTGCCTCCATGTTCTCATCTTCACAAAGCTAAAGCAAGGCAATCAATGGTAGACACCTCAAGGACAGTCTTTGATTGTTGATAGACCCCTTCACTTTGGGCAACTACTTTCATATAAGCACACAGCATAGACTGCTTACTAATTGGAACAATTTTCAAACATGTCCACATTTCATGAGACTTCTAGCATCTTAAAAATGTCATTACTCATGGGGTGGGGGTGGCAGATCTCTGAAAATTTGAGGCCAGCCTGGTCTACATAGTAAGTTCCATGACAAGCTCCAAAGCTACACAGAGAAACTTTGTCTCCAAAAACAAAAATGTCAGTACTACTACCTCCCCACAATTAGGGCTAATGTCCAATTATTTTAATATTCCACAGAGTAATTTTAAAATTCTAATTTTACTACAGTGTTTTGTCACACTATCACATTTTGAGAAGCTTCTGATGTGAGCCAAAAATTAAAACACAAATAATTCATCCATATATTAAAAACATGCAGGTAACATATAATCACTGAAATGTTTTTAACTTAGAGCTTTTTAGCTCTAAAAACAGAAGAAAATACAATTGCTATCTGCTAAACAGAAACACCATGAATTTTGGCTAAAAAATTAATGTACAAACATTTTTTAAAGTTTTAAGTGACACTTAAGAATTAATTAGAAAGCAGATGTAGTGAGTCATATAATCCAGCATTCAAGAGGCTAAGAAAGGAGGCTTGTGGGTTACAGGTCAGCCCTGGGGTACATGAGATCTGGTCTAAACAAAAAAAGTAAAAGGGAGAAATATTAGTATGTGGCTGAATGGGTGGTACGAACTTGTCATCCCAGCACTAGAAAGGCTAAGCAGAAGGACTGTTAGTTCACGGTGAGTCTGAGCTAGTCTACACTTCGACATTCCTGGACAGCCTGAGCTAAAAAAGAAAAAAAAAAAATGTAAAACAAATTAGAAACTATTAGCTTGCTTGGATCCAGTCCAAGGCTAAGCCATGTCTGGAGGAGATCACAGGCTATCAGCCCAGGCTACATTCTCTGTCTCTGAAGTCCACAGATTGTTTTGCTTGGTTAGTTTTGCTTTTGATGCTGATTGTTTTCCTCTTCCTCCTCCTTCTTTCTCTTCCTCTTCAATGTATTATTCAGTTCCAGGATTTGTGTTGGATTTTTGGTTTAAATTTTAATCTGTTAGCTTTCTCTGATGAAATCTCTGAACTGGTTTTCTGTATTTAAAGTTTTAAGTTTCCTTAAAGCAGCTTTGTTAGGTGGATCAGATAATCTATTTTGTTAGGGCTAGTAGTGGGTGACTTTTGTCCTTATAACGTGTCATGGCTCCCTGACCTTTTCCTTACCTACCCCCAGGTTTTTTCCTTGCTATTGTCCCTCTGTTTCTATTTGTAGATGAAGAAGATATTTGTTCTCAGTCCTTGCCGTCTAGCATGCTAGGCAAGTACTCCATGATCAAGTTGTACTTTCAGGCTTTAATAGCTAAAATTCTGAAAACAAATGTCCTTCTTTTCAGAGTTCCTAAAAAATACTTAATACAACGCCCTTGTTACATACAAAGGGTATGAAATAAAAATTTTCAGGCATACTAAATATTCAAGTTTATTTCCAATGTGCTCACTACAAGTAAGGCATCAGAAGATACACACCAAACAGAATGCTCACCATAATGGCCTTTGATTATTTTCTTGTCTGTATCTTTGGTACCCAATAATATGATGCCTGACAGCATACCAGCATTAAGAAGTTCTGAACACAGGCTGGAGAGGTGATTCACTCAGTAAAGTGCTTGTCACACTTTATTGTCACACAATAAGGACCTGAGTTTGGTCCCCGCACCAGCCCTGGAAAAGCAGAGACAGGAGGATCCCTGGGACTTGCTGGATGGCCACTCTGAGGCAAGCAAGGAGCTCCAGGTTCAATTAGCAACCCTGTTTCAAAAACTAAAAAGGAAAATGATCCCAACAGACACCCTATGTGGACTACAGTCTTCCATATGCAAGTACAAATGCACACACACCCAAACATAGTGAAACAGATTTTTCTTTTGAGTGTATAAAACTAACATAGAACACAACAAATAATGGATACCTGAAACTGACTTGTTTTGAGAATGAGCTCTGAAAACTTTTTCTAAAATCTAACCTCCCTTATAAAACTAATTTATGTATTATAATACCTTCAAATTCTTTCCTGTTCACCATCATGCCAATTATCAGTTGATTTTATAGGTATAATTCTTCAAATGAATATTGCTGTCTATGAAGGGTCAGTAACTCGTGTGAGCACTCAAGACAACTAGCACAATCTCATTATTATTAGGTCAGGATCAGACCCTCTTCTATCACCCAATTCCAGAAAATGGAACTGTATCCTAAAAGGATTATGTTTGTAGATGACCTACTTGTAACAATAAAAAGCCTATATTAAAATTATCTATTTTCTAATTTGTGCTCATATTCCTACCATTCACCCTTCAATGTAATAGACACAAATATTTTTTTATCATACATGTAAAATGTAGTCATTTGAATGAAAATGGCCCCATAGGCTAACAAGGACTGGCACTATTGGGGATATGGCCTTGCTGGAGTAGATGTGGCCTAGTTGAAATAAGCCTGTCACTGGAGGTGGGGTTTAAGGTTTCAGATGTTCAAGCCAGGCCTAGTGTGTCTCATTCTCTTCCTTCTGCCTGCAGATCCAGAAGTAGAACTCTCAGCTACTTCCCCAGCACCATGTTTGCATGCATGCTGCCAGGATTTCCACCATGATAATGAACTAAATCTCTGAAGTGTAAGCCAGCCCCAATTAAATGTTGTCAAGGTCATGGTGTCTCTTCACAGCAATAGAAACTCTAACAAAACAACTATTTAAGAAACCCTGAAAGAGTCGTGAATTAACATCTAAATCACCAGGACTCTGTTTTAATAAAATCCTTTCTTCAAAAACAATATTATGGAAAATTCAAAAATTGATCTGTCTGGTTAACTTTTAAGATAATATCCAAAGCCTGATCTATTTTAGTATGCCATAAAGGAATACCACAGCCCAACAACTTGAGCAACAGAAATGTAGACAGGGACTGTGCTCAGTGGTAGAGCTGCATACAGATGCATTAAGGCCTATATTCAATTCCCAGCACCACAAACTTTAAAAACAGAAATTTATTTTTTACAATTGTGGAGAGTATGGGAGTTTAAACCAAAGTACTGGCCCATCAAGTTTCCAGCTCTCTTCTTAGCTAGCAGCCTGCTACCTTCCATATACTCCCATGCTAGAGAGATCACTGGAAACTTCCTCTTTAACAAGAGCTCCTCTGATATGAGAGCTCTACCCTTAAGACCTCATTTTACTTTAAATCCGTTCACGATAGAGTCTATTTCTAGTATAGAAACATGGGTTATGTCTGGTTTAACTTGAGGCCCACACCATAAGAGGAAGACCCCATCCTACACTGCCTAGATGGCCAGGAACTGGAGACTGGCTGGCTAGGATATCTAGGGAAGAACCAAAGAGAACTGTTTAAAAAAAAAAAAAAAAAAAAAAAAAAAAACAAGCAATGAAATGATTCCTAATGATATTCCACTACATTCATAGATTGGTGCCTTGTCAAATCTTCATCATAGAACCTTTTTCCAGCAGCAGATGGGAATGGGTGCAGAGACCCACAGCCAAACATTATGCAGGGAAGAGTGTCTAAATTGGAGGTCTCATCAGGTCCCTCCCCCTTAGATCTTGGGAAACCCTGAGGAAGAGGAGAGAAAAGGTTGTAGGAGTCAGAGAGGATGGAGGACTCAAGAGAGCATGAGTAGACTGCTCCCTAATAACTCATTGCTCATTATTACTACCTAGAGATTTCTGTTCTGTTATCACAATCTGTCTCTGTTGTGGTATATCTGTATACTGTGTGAAGATATATTATTGCTGTGATTAGTTTAATAAAGAGCTGAATAGCCAATAATATTGCAGAACTTCCAGGTAGAGAGAGAGGAAGTAGAAAATAAATCTAGGTGCAAGAGAGATGCTATGGAATGAATCGGAGACAGAATGGAAGAGAGGTAAAAGCCATGTGGCAAAATGTAGATTAATATAAATGGGTTAATTTAAGTTAAAAGAACTAGTGGGACAAGCCTAAGCTAAGATTGAGCTTTCATAATTAATAAGTCTCCATGTCCTTATTTGGGAACTAGAGATCCAAAGAAAAAGATGGCTACCTGTTTCTCCACTGTTGAAAAGAGTTTTGTAAGCTACTTTGGCCATTGTGGAACAGCTAGCTCCCCAGAACATGACATTTATTTTTACCCAACCAGCCACACAAAGTTTTAGTACAATGCTGTCTAGCTTGGGACAGGTAGCATTAATTATGTCATTTAAAGTATATCATTTAAAGGCATATTCTCTTGGAATTACAGTTTCTGTAAGTACCTCACACACACTCATGAAATCATAATAAAGAAAAAGAGAGAAAGAGAAAAGACTTTTTTCTTTCTTTCTTTCTTTTTTTTTTTTTTGGTTTTTTTGAGACAGGGCTTCTCTGTATAGCCCTGACTGTCCTTGAATTCACAGAGATCCACCTGCCTCTGCCTCCCGAGTGCTGGGATTAAAGGTGTGCCCCACTACTGCCAGGCAAAAGAAGCCCTTTTTTAAAAACTGCAGATTTTCAAAAGTTTAATTCTCCGGTGTTGTACAAGATTATTTTAAGATGTGTTACATTTGTTTATGCTGTGGAACATTTGTTTAATGATGCAAATATGTGTTGCATTCCTTAATGTTTCATTTGTTTAACTCTGTGAAGCTGTGTTCTTTTGCCTGTCTAACACACCTGATTGGTCTGAAAAATGAACTGAATGGCCAATAGCAAGGCAGAGAAAGGGTAGCTGGGGCTGGCAAGCAGAGAGAATAAATAGGAGGAAAAATCTTGGAAGAGAGATAGAAGATCAATGATAGAGAAAAGAAGGGGCCAACCACCCAGATATACAGCTAAGTCATGGAATAAGAAGCAAAGAAAAGATATACAGAAATAGAGAAAGGTAAAAACACAGAGACAAAAGGTAAATAAGATAAGTTAAGAAACGCTGGCTAGAAATTAACCAAGCTAAGTCTAGGCATTCAGAAGTAATAACAAAACTCTGTATGTTTGATTTATTTGGAAGCTGGGTGACAGGCCCAAAGAACTAAAGCTTAAAGAGTAAAAAAGCAAACAACACTCCAACCTTACTACTCCCATTTCCAGCACTCATTAATTACATAGCAGCTTCATGAATAGCAAGTTTATATTTGGAAAACAACAATTAAAATTTTTAAATCCAGGAGAAATTTTAGGGTACTTACAGATGTCTGGGACATACTTGACTGTTGTGTGACACTTCCTGTGGGGGATGTAGATGGTCTTCCACTGGACAAACTTGCCTAAAATAATAAAACTATTATAATATGTCTATAAAAACTTAGTTAAAAGCTTCCTTGAGGAGGGAACCAAACACTTCCTTGAGCCACAATAATACAAAACTACATTAAAAAGTTTCCAAGTCTATGTAAACAAATCATTTTACAACATGGCTTGATCCTGGACATTTTAAAGCAAAAGCAAAGGATGAAAACCAAGGCTCCACTGGCTAGTCTCAGTTCTTCATTTCTATATTACTTATTTTGTGTTACTATATGCATGTGCTTCATAGAACACAACTTCTACTGTGTGGGCCCCAGGGATCGAACTCAATTCATTAAATCTGTTGCCAAGCTTAGCAGCAGGGGCCTTTACCCTCCAAGCCATCTCGATGACCCTAATCTTGTTTTATTAGCTGCACTGCCATAAGGTACATCCTATTGATAAACTGTCATATGTTATCTGAACTTACTGATCAGCTAGTACTAGAAGTGGGATTGCCTACCCCCCACAAACTTCAGCCTCAAACATGTCCAGTATCTACTGAGACCCCTTGCCTGAGAATAAACTGGACCTCACTAACTTTGTGACACAAGGAAAGCAAAACAGCCTAAGAGTGAAAAAACAGCTAGAACACAAACCATCCCTATCCAATGTTATTTTTGTCTACCCCATGAAATAAAAGTGCCCACATGAAGGCTGGAAAGATGGCTCAGTAGTGAAGAGGGTTACTCATGAAGATGGAGCAGAGTTGGATTCCCAGCATCCATGGGAGTGGCTCACAACTGCCTCTAACTCCAGCTCCAAGGGATCCAGTGCCCTCTTCTGGCCTCCACAGGCACTAGCATACAGATGTACATACAAACACACACACATACTCATACATAAAATCCTTAAATAAGTAAATAATAAAATAAAAGGGAAAGAAAATCTGGAAGTTCGGCCATAGGGGGAAGGAGTGTGGGTTAGAGCTCAACCAAGCAGAGAAAGCTCAATTGGAAAATCTAAATGTCTCCCTCACTTCTCCGTTGGTTTTTGCCAGAAGTTGTACCATTTTGATGATGTTATCCAGATACTCTGCTCCAACTGGACATGTCCAATTGGAGCTCTGCTGAATGTCTGCAAGCCCCTGGTCTGATGGCATTACTTCTCCTCTGTTACTTGTGCTGATACTTGAGAGCCTTACTTCAGGGAACACTTCTCCATCCAGGACACTGTTAGGAAAGCCAATGGCCTCAATGGGACTTTGCCCTGCTGGCTGTTTTGAGCACCAGATTTGATGTTTTCTTTCTATTTATCCTTTTACTTTCGATTACTATCTACTATAAAGCCAGGTGGTGGTGGAGCCCAACTTTAATCCCAGCAGTCCAGAGGCAGGTGGAACTGTGAGTTTGAGGCCAACCTAGTCTACAACAGGGTGACTTACAGGACAGCCAAGGCTACATAAAGAAACCCTGTCTCAAAAAATCAAAAAACAACAACAAAAATATGACTATGATAGATCACTCTTCAGACAGTAAGAATAACTCATCAATTTCATTCTATTGTCTTTAAAGCTGAGTTCCCTATTCCATCATGAAAAAGAAACTAAGAGCTATATAGATGGCTCTGTGGGTAAGAACACTTGCTCTGTAAGCCCAAGGACACTGAGTTTGGATCCCTAGCATTCACATAAAAAGCCAGGCATGGCTTTACATTCTTTTAAACCCAATATTGAAAGACAAAGGCAGGGAGATCCTGCAGGCTATAGCCTAGCTGAAACAGTGAGCTTCCGGTTCCTAAAAGACCCTATTTCAAGGCAATCAGATGGGAGAGCTACAGAGAGAAAACTAAGAAAGATAACTGGTATCCTGCTCTGGCCTCCACAAGTGTATACATGGGTACACAAATTTCACACCTGGATACACACACATGCTAATGTGTAATCACACACAACACACCAAAACCACTAATAATTGTGTTTAAAAAAAAAAAAAACAGGCAGTGGCGGTGTACGTCTTTAATCCCAACACTTGGGAGGCAGAGTCTAGTGGATCTCTGCAAGTTTGAGGCTAGCCTGGTGTACAGAGTGAGCTCTAGGACAGCCAGGAATACACAGAGAAATCCTGTCTCAAAATATAAAACAAAACAAACAACAACAACAAAAAAATTCTACTACTGAAGCCTGGCATAGTGGTACACATCTCTAATACCAGCATTTGGGAAGCAGAAGCAGGTGAGCTCCATGTAATTAAAGCCAGCCTGGTCTACAGAGTGAGTTCTAGGACAGCCAAGGCTACACAGAGAAACCCTATCTTGAAAAACAAACCAGAGAGAGAGAGAGAGAGAGAGAGAGAGAGAGAGAGAGAGAGAGAGAGAGAGAAATTAGTCAGGCAGACAGTGGTGCACTTAATCCCAGCACTTGGGAGGCAGAGGCAAGCAGATTCTCTGTGAGTTCAAGGCCAGCCTGGTCTACAAAGTGAGTTCCAGGACAGCCAGGGCTACACAGAGAGACCCTATTTCAAAATAATAATAATAATAATTTCAAAAATACATTACTGAAAAGAAGCAAGAGCTGGTACCTACAGATAACAGAATATTTTTTTTCAGGTTCTTAGAATTAAGATTATTTTTGGTGAGATTAAGATTAACAACTAAATCTCACAAAAAATTTAAACTGTACAATGAAAATGTTTTTTTAAAATACAAACTTAATCATAAAATTAAGTTATTGATAGGACTAATTTCATTTTTAGAAAGGTACACATACACACACATCTGTATACTGTCACATGGCCACCTCTGAAGAGCAGGAGTGACAGTGTTAGAAAGAATGAGCAACTCTACTCCATCTTCCTTTTGTAATGTTATTCCACTTGATGTTCTTTAATGAATATAAAGTATCTACATAAGAAAAAAAACTTACTTTTGGTTAAAAAAAAATGTAATTTATATAACCTTAAGCATTCAATGTTGTCCCTAAAATTTTAGAGACAAAAGTATACCATATAGAGAACATTTATCTAGCTTAGATAAAGAGCAACAAGACAACATACAAAACATATCTATTCTCCTCCCAGTGAATTTGTATTTACCAGCCTACTAACCTACCTCCTGTCATTAGGGAAATAATCACAGGACATTTCAGAATGCAGACAGAGCACCTGCCTACTTATTTTAGGTTATTACCATATCTAACATAAACTGTGGACTCACAAATTGTCCACTTATTTTCTCACCTGAACAGCAGCAAGGCTCTGGAGCTGGGAGCTGCTTAGATGCTGCTGCTGAAGAGCAGCTGTGTGCAGCATCAAATGTTGTTGCTGAGCCGCATACATCTGCTGGAGGTACTGAGCAGCCGAGCTCGGGGGGCGATGCAATGCCTGTTGAATTACCTGTGATAAGGTAAGGGACCCTATGTCAAACCAGCAACTCAACCTCTGTCTTTCCCCCTCTGCTTCTGAGGTTTTATGCATACTGAGCACAAACTTCATTGGAACTCCAGATCATCCATTAGATTAACCAAAAACTTAGGATAAAAAGTGGCAGCTTAAGTTTTTACTACTTTAATATTCAATGTCATTAGGCTTATTGACACATTTACCTATTATTACATATCACTAGGTTAAATTACCCAGATCATTCACTTAAAGTATGGGACAAATATGTGAAATCTTAAATCTCATTAATAGTCCAAAAACTTACTAATTAATGGGATATAGTAATTTACAACTTTTGGATGGATCCAAAAGATTACTACTACTAAATAGGAAAATAACCCTTCCTACACTAGCAGTAAGAATTTAAGTCTTATAGTCATTCTATATACCACTTGGTAGATTTCAGGGCATATGTATAAAGAATACTTTCACCATGCAGCCATTGCAAACAGTAATACAGACATACAATGACCACCAGCTACATGACCAGCAAGTACATAAAAAAAGGCTAAAGAAGTAGATTTTAACTTTAAACTGAACTTGATTCTGTATTACATAATGCAGATATAAAGCTATACAATATGGAGTACCAATAAATTATAAGATGAAAAAAGTCATTTTGAGTAGGATATCATTTGGTCTTAAAATTTCTGAAATATTCAAGGAGGTAATAAGTATGTTAGCGATGACTTTTAGTGTCTGAACATTGTATAAGTTTGAACATTGTATAAGATTAAAAAGGTACTTCTCAGCCGGGCACACACCTTTAGTCCTAGCACTCAGGAAGTAGAAGCAGGTGGATCTCTGTGAATTCAAGGCCAACCTGGTCTACAGAGCGAGTTCCAGGACATCCAGGGCTACACAGAGAAACCCTGTCTCAAAAAAACAACAAAACAAAACAAAAAAGAAAAGAAAAAAGCACTTCTCTTTAAAAATGACTCATTAATTTTTAAGTTTTTAAAAAACTATCTGATTTTTTGTTTCCACATAGGAATAGTCTTAATCTTCTTTATAAAATTGTATTTCTTTTTTTGTGTCCTGGTGTACCATGGCATGTGTGTGTGAGGTCAGAGGGCAGCTTACAGGAGATGGTTCCCTCCTTCCATCATGTGGGCTCTGGGAATCAAACTCAGGCTGTCAGAATTGAAGACAAATGCCTTTATCTGCTGAGCCATCTTGCCAGCTCCCAGGACTTTGGTGGAAGAGCATTTATTTTAAAAACTCCTGGAGTTGGAGGGTTGGCTCAGTTAAGGACCTAAGTATTGTTCCCAGTACCATGTGAACTACAACTGTAGTTCCAGAGCATCTTCTGGAGGATCAGTAGCACGTACATGGTACACATATATACATGCAGGCAAACACACACATTCAAAATGTAGATAGGGCTGAAGTGATGGCTCAGCTGCTGAGAACACTTGCTCTTCCAAAGGACCCAAACACCCATTGTGGTGGCTCTCAACCATCCATAGCTCCAGTTCTAGAGAACTGGATACCCTTGGTAGACATACATACATGCAGGCAAAACACTCTTACAGAAATAAATCCAAATTTTTTAATAAAATAGAATAATTTTGTTAGAAATGAACTCATAAAATCATTAATTATAGTAAGTGTTAATAGATGTAAAATCTGAGCCTGCACAGAGAGGTCCAGTATCCTAAAAAGACAACAGAAAAACCCTCTCACCATCTGTTCAAAATCAGACTGCCTCACCATGCCCTCTGTGACTCTGAAACAACACAGAGCTCTAATCTCAGCACTGCAGTAGCATTTTCACAGTAGCAATGGAGTAAGAGTGCTCTGATCACAGTAAGTCAGGATGTCTGACATAAAGTCAACAATCCCTTTACTCAGATTGCTGTGAGTTACTGTTCACTTGCATGTGTTCTTACCTCTCTCCAACTACAGATGGTCCCTGAAACAAACTCTTCCTAGTTGAGTTTTCACAACAGAAGACTATGAATAAAACACTAAATGACTCAGAACTACAGTGTTTCTCTTTGGCCACATAAATACACATATGATCTTCTAATTCCATAACAAATTTCTAAGAACTTACACTCAAGGACAAGTGAATAATCAACTTGATGCCTAATTCTCTCAGTATAGTCTATTCACCACAGATACCTGGCACTATAATTACAAGTTAAAGGCACAATATACCATTCTTATTTTGTTTCTCTACAGAAACCAGGGTGAAGAAAATACTCATGACTAAAAAAAAATAAAGCTTGAGAGTTAAAGAACAATTAAGGCTAGGTGGTGGTGGTGGCACACACCTTTAATCCCAGCACTCGGAAGGCAGAGGCAGCCAGATCTACAGAGCTAGTTCCAAGATAGCCAGGACTACACAAAGAAAATCTGGGGGGTTGGGGGGGTTAAGAAAACAACTTAAGTGGCTCAATGAACATGGCTTTGAAAACATTTTAGATGAGGTAATTCAATGATCTGTAATAACTAGAGTTTGTGCTTCCTGTGAGACATATCAGCACCTGCAATGTCTCTAAGTAACACTTCATTTATAAATTTAAGCTGGCTAAATAAATTTAATAAATAAATTTAAACTTAAGCTGGATAAATAAAAAAAAACAGTATAGTCAAATACCATATCACCTGTATACTCTTCAACATAATATCCTTCAATATATCACTCACCACAGAGAAAAAAGAAGGCATTAAAAGCATACTGTGCATTCAAGTTTGAGTTTCTGCTAAGCTGACTAGGTCTTCAACAGTTCTCTATCTACCATGGAAGAACAGAACAAAGGGAGTAATTAACAATAGTAAATAATGCAATTATTAAAGAACATTTTGGTCCCTAGCACTAAAAAAAAATAAAAGGGGAAAAAAACAACTTTAAAGAACGCAATTGAGGATTCTATAAAATGAAGGCAAGTAATATAAAAGCAGCAAGAACACAGAATAGCTAATGGCAGAAGCTGAAATCAGAAGACCTAGCAGCAATGGAGTTTGGAATTATTTAGCCTATTTAAAGCACTGGTTTTTCCATTTGTAAGATGCCTGCTGTATAGAGGTCTGATGAGGATTAAGCAAAATAATCCACATAAGGAAAGCATTCATCGAATGCTTGGCACATAAAGTAGTTCAATAGACAGACACTACTACCCTTTATTATGACTTGTAACATCCCCCACACAGTTCTAGATGTTTCTCATGGTAACTGATAAAAGTACACAATGTTATCCTCCTTTTACGATTTCCTGGGACTCAAGGAGATGATTATGTCTTTTGCCCAAAGGCACAAAGAGTTCACAAAGAACCCATCAGACTACAACACTCATATCTTTTTACAACAAAGCTTTTATTGTTTCTATTGGTATATGGTCAACTAAATCAATTTTACTTTCTCAACTAAGTGACTACATAAAAATCTTTCAAATATTCTCTTCCCTCTCTACCCCAAGAAGCTGTAGAACCTTCCTGCTTAGTGTTCGTATACCAGCTGAATGTGAGAAGTTCTCTGTAAGTTGCCTGATGGGCTCAAGTATAAAATAAGCCAAAAAAGCAGCTATCCTAAATATCTAACAATCATATTTTCACTCTTACAGCAGCACTTAAGAGACATTCAATTATAATTTTCTGGACACATAACCTTATAAGCTTCACATGGACAAATGTAAACCCTCTCAAAAGTACAATTACTAAATAACTTTATTGGTCTTTAAAAACTTAATGTTTTTTTTTTTTTCCTTTCACTTGGTTTTTGGCAATGCTAAAGATCAAACACACATTAGCAAGCACTCAGCCACTGAGCTGCACTCCCAGCCTGAACTGTTACAATTCTACTATCTTAGGATTTGAGTCAACACATAGAGCTGGCTTAGGCACAAAACAGTACCCCATCTTCAGTCTTACCCTCCCCACCAATACATGCATATAGCTGAAATACCTGAACAGCATGTCGGTCTGAGCCACTGTACACAGAGATCTGTGGTTGCTGCATTCGAGAGGAGGAAGTGGTGATGGTGGTGGTGGTGGTGCTACTGGCTGTTGTTGACACAGAAGATGTTCCAGAGTTTGGTTCACTATCCATAGTTGCACTGTGATCCTTAAATCTGGCAGACAACACAAAGGATCAGTCCTGGTAAAAAGCACTCTACTACAAAGAAGTAATTAGTTCTGAGTTGAAATGTCTGGGAAGACCTTAATACAATAAAGCTAGCACACAATCGACAAATAGAAGGGAAACACACTTCCCCCATACAGAGAATAGTTGATAGGTAATATCTGCTAAAGTGAATTCAAATGACCCAGAACAGTAACTAAAATGAAGCCTACATTGAAGTTTATGTTTGCATTATTGAAAAGGGGACAGATTTGAAAGACAGGAGTGGACACAAGGTCCTAATCCTAATTAGCTATCTGCAATTGACACCCATTAGCAGTAGAAAAAAAAATCTTCTCCAATGGAGTCTCACTGGCTATATCTATCAGCCCACACTTTAGGGCAGGTCCCATGCTCAGTATTAGTTAGCCAACACATAACTTTTGTTGATGTTTTTGCTTCATTTTGGCAATTTGTATCTAGAATTGGTCTTGTGCCTATTTATTTTGATTTATATTTTGAAGGCTTTTGTGGGAGGTTGTATATTTCTGGGGTTTTGTTTTTCTCCCCCACTTCCACAGAGACAGGGTTTCCCTCTGTAAACCAGGCTGTCCTGAAACAGAGATCCACCTGCCAAAAGGCATGTACCATCACTGCCCAGCAGTTTCTGGGGTTTTGGTTTTATGTTTGTTGTCTAAAAAAAGACTGAGAGGAAAAGAACACAAAGTTGGGTAGCAAAGGAGGTGGGAGACTCTGGGAGGAACTGCAAGAAAAAAACATTATCAATAACATTATATGAATTTCTTTTTCAATAAAAAATTATTTGAGGCCAAGTGGTAATGGTGGTGTACACCTTCAGTACCAGCACCCTGGAGACAAGAGCAGGCAGATCTAAGTGAATCTGAGGTCAGCCTGGCCTTCAAAGTGAGTTCCAGGACACCCAGGACTGTTACACAGAGAAACCCTGTCTCAAAAAGAAGAGAGAAAAAGAGAGAGAGATTTGAAACCAAGCAGTATCAGAGTTCTTTACTTATTTGTGTCTTCTTGGGTGTATGGGGAGAGGAGGTATATATATATGTCTGCTCCTGTACATGTATATGGAGAGTTATGGACAATTCAGACCCAAAATGTGGCTGCTGGGAATTGAACCTGGGTCTTTTGCTAACTGCTGGCCATCTCTCCAACCCTCAAAGTCATTCTTAGCTATACTTCAGAGATGCTTCCTAAGGACTTATATTCACGAGTTTAACTGCAAGTGCCATATGGTTATTTAGAAATTAAGTCTTATTCAACTTGGTATGGTGGCATACACATGTAATTCCAGAACTTTAGGAAGATCATCCTTAGTACATAATAAGTAAGAGGCCAGCCAGGGGACTACACAAGACCCTGTCTCTTAAGAAAAAAAAAGTAATTAAGTAATTAAAAATTAATAATTAAGGGGCTGGAGAGATGGCTCTGTGGTTAAAAGCACTAACTGCTCTTCCAGAGGACCCACATTCAATTCCCAGCACCCACATGGCAGCTCACAACTGTCTGTAATTCCAGTTCCAGAAGACCTGACACCCATGGCAAAACATCAATGCACACCAAAAAAAATTAATTAAAAATAATTAGTGATGATGAAGAGCACTGGCTGTTCTTGCAGAGGACCTGGGTTTGATACCCAGCACCCACACAGAGACTCATAACCCTCTGAAACTGAGTCCCAGGATCAAACACCTTCTTCTGGCTTCTGAGGGGACAGGCACACATCAAGGAATAATGCAGACATATATGCAGGCAAAGTACCCAAACACATAAAAATCTTCATTTTTTTTTCAACTCTCAGTAGCTTTTTTAAATTAGTCTATAACATTGTCCTTACCAATTCTAGTAACAATTTAGCTTAACAATAGACTAGTACACTTAGGGAAATGAAGTAGCAAATAAAAGCAACTTCTTATAGCCTTACAAAAATCTTTTTTCACAAAGAATTGTTCTAAAATTTGGGATGGTGGCAGAATATAATTTATTCACTTTCCTATGTATAGCCAGTAACGTACATTTTTGTATAAAAATGTCTAATCTTTTTCCTCTAATACTACAATCTTATGTCATTTACATTGTGGTACAAAGTTTCACCCAATAAAAAATTTACATTTTGCCACCATTAAAGGCAGTCTTGCACACTTTTAATCCCAGCACTGGGGAGGCAGAGGCAGGTGGCAGTCAGGATTACACAGAGAAACCTTGTCTCAAAAAAAGGAAAGGAAGGAGGGAAGGAAAGAGGGAGGGAGGAAAGGAAAGAGGGAGGGAGGGAAGGAAGTCTATATTTTAATAAACTCAGCCTTCTACCCTAAAGCTTCCATGCTGTTACACTAAAACCACATTAGTTGTCACTCCGGGTCAGAAACCCATGTGAGGTTTTACTAGTTTCCCATTTCCTTATTTGCCTTTTTCTCTTGAGAAATAACATTTGAACCAACTGACATTCCCATCATTGACCAGAATGGAACTAGAACATTTGCTTTTCTTTCTAAAACAAAACAGGGTATTATCACTATGTAGCCCAGGCTGGCCTCAATGAGACCAGGAATTCTCCAGCCCACCACACCTGAATTAACATCCAATTTACATGGAGAAAGGTGGAAGGAAAAACGGAGAGAAATGATTTCTCACTAACTTTTATTATAAGTTGAATCATACTTTTTTTTATACTTCGCTGCTATGTTTTTTAATTGCCTTTCAATCAATCAGCAAAGTCTTTCTGCTCAGCTGTGCCCTCAAGCCCAAGTAGCTCTAACTAACCAAAAATGGTCATAGAGAACCTAAACATTAATTCTAATCGCTGGTGAGTGCAACTGGCCAAAAATCACCGCACCACATTTCGAGGCCTGGTGCAGAAAGAACACTTTTGGTAAGTGCATGGGCTTGGCATGGAAATGCCTGCTACACCAGAGGCCTACCAGGGAACCAGTAAGTTTCAAGTCTCTAACCGCGCATACCAACACAGCGCCACACAAGAATGCAGCCCTCCAGGGAGGGAGGCACGTCGCTGCAGCCCGAGCCCGGAGGGGGAGTGCCGGGAAAGGCCCGGACACCCCCGCGGTCCCCGCGGTGCCTCTGCTCCGCTGACCACCGCGCAGCCCGCCAGACGGCGGCGGGCCGCAGAAGCCAGCGCCGAGGCCTGGCGGCTCCCGCCCAGCCCGACACACCTCGGCGGGGCCGCGGCGGGAGTGACAGCCCCGGGAAAGCACCCGAGGGCTCGCGTCCGGCGAGGCCCCGGAGGCCCGGGTCCCCAGGGTGGCTGTGCGCGCAGGGCCTCGCGGCCACGGGACCGCACCGCGCCACACGCACTCCCGAGGGGAGGCTGCCGGGACCTGCCATCCTCCTCCGCCCCTGCCCGGGCTCCTCCACCACGCCGTGGCTCTCGCCTCTCCTCAGCCCTGCACTGTCAACCTCCGAGCCCTGAGAGCTCCCTCGGGGGACGTGTCGCTGCCCTCACTCGCCCCCCGGTTACGACATCAGTCACCAGCAAGTCACTCACTCCGCTTCCGCCATCTTCTCTCCTCCATCACTAACACGGGGTGCGCATGCGCCTCCCCTTCCCCCCTACTAGAGCCGAGGGGCGGGACTCGAGCTAAGGGGGGGCGAGGTCACGTGAGGCCAGCGAGCCGCTGTCTCCCACCCACCTCAGCTCTCCGTGAAGTGGCCAGTGTTTCCCTGCTTGTCCCCGCCACCCTCTATCTCTGTTCAGAATCTTTGTCTGAGGCCGGGGTCTGCGACAAAAACAGAAAAAGTTTTGCCTAGCGCTGGAAACGTAGAAGTTGACAGTGGACTTGCAGAAGCGTGCATGAAGTCCTAGGTTCAATCCCCAGCACTGCGTAAACCTGGTGGGGTGGAGCGTGTGGGAAGTGTAGTCACCAGAAATAAAAATTCAGTGTCATCCTGGGCTATATAGAAAGTTTAAAGCTAGTCTGGGATGTATGAAGCCGGAGACCGTGTCTCAAAAAAAGAAGGCCAAAAATTGACTTCAACTGTAAGATATTAAAGATGTGTATCTGAAGTGGTCTTAACCTGCGGAATGAATTTTGTAGACATCCGTACACATATATCACTTTATTTCACAGATCCATGAAATGTGTAAATCTTGTTTCCTGATCAGTATGCTTCTTTGGATTACTTTCGCTGTGATTGAAAGACCATGCCCAAAGCACCTTGGGGAAGAAAGGGTTCCTTCGCTTTACTCTTCCATCATAGTTCACTATCAAAGGAAGTCAGGACTGGACTCACACAGGGCAGGAACCTGGAGGCAGACCCGGATGCTGAGGTCATGGAGGAATGCCACTTACTGGCTTGCTCTTAAGGCTTGCTCGACCTGCTGTCTTAAAGAACCCAGAACCACCCACTAATCCAGGAGTGACCCCACTCACAATGGACTGGACATCCATCACTAATTAAGAAAATGCCTACAGGCTTGCCTACAGCCTAATCTTATGGAGGCATTCTCCTCATTTGAGGCTCCCTCCTCACAAATGAGTCTAGCTCGCGTCAAGTTGACTTAAAACTAGCCAGTACAACTGTCCCCCGTGTCAATTTGACACAGACACACATCACTGTTAAGACACAACCTTCCCTTTCTATCTTATTACCAAAATCATACATAAAGACATTACAATAGAAGACATTTTAAAACTTAAAAAGTCACCACAGTCTTAAAAGTTTAAACACTTAAAAATTCAGCCTTGATGGACAGTGGTGGAGCACACCTTTAGTCCCAGCACTCGGGAGGCAGAGGCAGGCAGATTTCTGAGTTCAAGACTAGCATGGTCTACCAGAACTAGTTCCAGGGCAGGCTCCAAAGCCACAGAGAAACCCTGTCTCTCTCTCTCACACACACACAAACACACACACACACACACACACACACACACACACACACAAAGAATTCAGCCTCTTTTAACATCCAAAGTCTTTTATAATCTAATGTCTCTCAGCGGTGGGCTTCTATAAAATCAAAATAAGTTAAATACTTCCTTACTTCAA